AAAAAAAAAAAAAAAAAAAATTCTTAGCAATTTTATCTCCTAATATCTCTTAATTCCAATTCTTTCCATATCTAGTGCCCTATCATCCAATTTTGCCTCTCCTGCATCACAGCTCATTAACTGATGTTCCCGCATCCACCCTTTTCTCCTCCATTCCTTTCTTCTCAAAGCAGCCAAAATAACCCCTCTTCCATTTAAAATGTACCACTGTTCTTTAAGTGGCATGTAGGACCTCCATAATCAGACTCCTATCTACCTCTTTGGCCTTCTCTATGAGTCTTTAAGTTTCAGTAGTTCCTTAGCTCTCTGATGTCTCATATCATCATGTCTTAACATGTTCTCTCCACCTGTAGTACTCTCTCCCCTTCTCATTAATGACTTAAGTCTACTTATCTCAAAAGTTGCTGCTTGGGGCAGGTGAGGGGGCTCACACCTGTAATCCAGCACTTTGAGAGGCCAAGGTGAGAGAATTGTTTGAGGCCAGGGGTTCGAGACCAGCCTGAACAACATAATGAGATCCCCATCTCTACAAAAAATAGAACAATTAGTTGGGTGTGGTGGCACATGCCTGTAATCTCAGCTACTCAGGAGGCTCAAACAGGAGGACTGCTTGAGCCCAGGAGTTAGAGGTTACAGTGGGCTATGATGGTGCCATTGCACTCCAGTTTTGCCCACAGAGTGAGACCTAGTCTCAAAACAAACAAACAAACAAACAAACATACAAAATTAACTCACCTAACTCCAAAATTAAATTTTTTTGTTATAGCATCTCATACCTGTCAGGGAGGAAATGGTTTTCTCTACCCTGTTAGACTCATTGTCTGGGGGCCTGAGAATCAAACTGACAAAATAGATTAGCAAGAGAAAAGCCAGACAATCACATACAGAAATGTGACTCAAAGAAGCAGTAAGAGTTTGGGTCTTACATACCATCTTTGTATGGGAAGAGGAGGAGAGAGGAAGAACAACACTTTGGGGAAAATACATGACTTTTAGGAAAGAAATGAGATCTCAGAATAAATGTGCAAGATGACAATTTCATGACAATGTCTGTTTAGGCATATTACTGACTTCTAGTCTCCAGTAATGAGTTAGTCTTCCCTAGTTCCCAAGGAAAGGACTCCTTTCAATTCTTTTAGGTGGGTCTGCTTTAAGGTAGACAAGAGATTTCAGGAACTCAAATGCCTTTTGCTCAAAATAATTTTTAGGCCACTCTGGACCTCTTCATATATTAAAGCATTGTCCTTTCTTAATTCACTGCACAACGATAGCCTCTGCCTTCCCCTCAAGACTGTAAGCAAATGAAAGCTCATGCTATACTTGCCTTGTCCATGAGTATTCCCAGCACCTAAATCAGTTGGATGAATAAAATGAACTGGATATCCCTGGGTGAACATCCTAGCCTATGTGGCCCAATTACTTGATTAGTCAAGAACAACCCGCACAAAACATTCAGTGGTTAATAAACAGTATATGGCTTCAAATGAACATATGTCTTTAGCTGCTGTTTATTTACATTGCGTAAGTGCTCTGCATTAATTTGGGTAGACATAGTCATCTTACGCTGTTGGATAAGGGTAGTAAATAATGACAATTTTTTAAAGGAGGTAGGGGGCACTTTTATACTTAATTATGTATTTGAAAGATGTCAGGCTGTTTTCAAGACGCATGAGGAACTCATTGGAGACTTTTAGGAGACAAGGCACCGATCCACGGGTACTTCTGTTTCAATCAACGTTGACTATCCAGGACGTAATCGGGAGTAAACTCTGGATTCTACTACGAGGAATAAGAAAGTAAAACCCAAAAGCCATTTCCTCACTTGCTTGGCCTCAAGGAAGAAAACTTACGAGCCTTTCAGTCGCTCTCGCTCCAGAAGTACAAAGGTAGCCGGGCGGGTGAGCTCAGACAGATCAGTACCTAACCCTCCCTGCAGACCATCGCGGCCACCTGTCTGTGACGTCACCGGAAACAGCTACTTGTGACGCCACTCGGCCCGCCCCCTCGCGCTGGGCGCCGGAAACAAAACGGAAGTGGACGCGCACCCGCTTCCGGACCCGGACGCCATTTCCAGCGGTTGCTGGTTCTCACGGGTTGTGGTCCGCCAGGACAATGAGCTATGACTACCATCAGAACTGGGGCCGCGACGGGGGACCCCGCAGCTCCGGTGGCGCCTATGGAGGGGGCCACGGAGGGAGCCGAGCCTCCGGAGGTGGCAGCGGCGGAGGAGGAGGGGGCGGGCGAGGCGGCAGGGGCCGGCATCCTGGACACCTGAAAGGCCGCGAGATTGGCTTGTGGTACGCGAAGAAGCAGGGACAGAAGAACAAGGAGGCGGAGAGGCAGGAGGTAATCTGAGATCCGAGGGCGGAGGGGGTGAGGCCCCACGGGTTTTCGTTTACCTCCCTCCGCTCCTAATTTGTTTCCTTGCTTTTGTTTCTTAGTCGACGCACGTGCTTTCTTCCCTGTCATTTCCGTAAATCTACCTGATCTGCCTTCTTCGTATATCCGAAATCCAGCCTCTTGTCTCTAGAGCAGTTACCGTGGATCAAGCCACTGTTTAATCTTCCAGCTTCCAGGCCTGCTTCCCATGAAGCCTGTCCTTTATAGAGCCCCCGTGGTGATCGTTTAAAAGGAAAAATCAGGTCATTTCGTTTCCTAGCTCACAACTCGAGACTGGAAATCTTGCCCGTCTCAGTCTAATAACATTTAGTGAAGCAGGTCATATTATGCTGAAGCCTCCTGTAGCGGATGTTAGACCGCTTTACGTTGCTATGCGAGTCTGATGCCAGCGATCAGGATTTGTGCGGACTGAGTGTATACTTAAAGGACATGAGAATGGACAAATCACCTGTTAAATTCCGGTTCCAACATAAATGGCATTAGGGGTGTTAGTGTCGTATCTCTGGCCGTCCTTCCCTTAGAATAATTATTGTCACTTTTATTGAAATCCTTCGCCTGGTGAAGTTGAAAATAGTGGCCTTCTATGTTAGAGAGAGGTTTGTGCGGAACAAAAGCAGCCCAACACTATTTTGAATGTAAATCGTTCAGAAAAGTAGTTTGCTCTTATTATTAGTGTTAGAATTACCAGCCACAAGCCTAGGTTCTTTGTTTTTATGTTGGGGTAGTGAAATTTGTATTCATAAGCAGCTTCTTTTTGAGAAGGAAACTTAGGATCCTAGAAGTGGAAGACACGCTAAAAGATGATTAGATGATTAGGGTTTAGTCTTTTCCAGTGATTGTCAGTTTTATGTGTATCTTAAAAGCTGTAATAAATGAAACATGAAGTTCTCTGGTCTATTCTAATAAAATAGTTTGTGTCATTATATAGTCTACGGAATATAGACTATATATAGTGTAATATAGTCTACGGAAGTTATAGGCTACAAGTATAGGCTCTTAGCATAGGCTGTTAGGACAGTTTTTTAGCACATTTCACTTATGGAGTGTAATTATTCATTAGGCTACTATTTTAAAACCATTTCTTTATTTTTCTTTTTTAACTATGTTATTTTCGTTCAGGTGTTCTGGGGCCTTATTTATTTATCTTCGCAACATTCTCTTTAATAAAACAAGCTTTTTTTTTTTTTTGACAGCCCCAAATTAACTTCTTCACTGAGCAGACTGGTTTTTGAAAATCAAGGGAGGCATATTTAGCCATCTTGAAATCGGAAGAATAACTGAGTCATAACTATAAAAGATGTACACAGTAATTTTACCCTCTGTTTACCCTCTGTTTCTTTTTTTTTTTTTTTTTTTGAGTTGGAGTCTCACTCTGTCACCCAGACTGGAGTGCAGAGGCCGCTCCCGGCCACTGCAGCCTGGACCTACTGGGCTCCGGCGATCCTTCCGCTTCAGCCTTCCAAGTAGCCAGAATTACAGGCATGCACTACCATGCCCGGCTGATTTTTTGATATATTGTAGAGATGAGGTCTAGCTGCCCAGGCGGTTCTCGAACCCGCCAGCCCAGGCAATCCACTCACCTCAGCCTCCCAAAGGTGCGGGATTACAGGCTGAGCCACCGAGCCCGGCTTACCCTCTGTTTCAAACAAGGTTTTATGCATGTTGCTACTGATATCTGAAGAAATGTGATACGCAAGGAGCTTACCATCTTGCTGGGAAAAGAAGACCTAAACAGATGAAAAGTTAAATAAGTCAGGAAAAATTGTTCATTATTAGCTTCACATGAAGGGTATAGCTAGTTGTGCTGTTGATGTTGTGAATGGAACTTTGGATTTGTACCCTCATTGCCATTTTCCATTTTAGTAATTGCAACTACGATTTATTCACTTGCCAAAACCAAAGGCAGATTTAGCTTTTATTCTTCCCTTTCATTTCTGCACATCTATCTGCTTTGCTTTCTTAATATTTGCCTCATCCAACAACTTATTTCTAGAGCAATTACCATAGATCAAGCCATTGTTTTGTTTTCTGTTCTTAGCGTCCTGACTAGACTTTTAGGTTACACTTATGCTTCCTATTTATTCTTGCTTTATAGAGCCACCCATTAGTGATCTTTTACAAGGAAAAATTAGATCATTTCATTCTCTTGCTCACAACTTGAGTTTGAAAGTCATGTCACTTCTGTCTCAGTCTAATACATTGAGTGACATCTTAACACGTTTTACTTCTCGTTAGTGTCATACCCTTCTCCTGACTAAAGTGTGCCCCTACATCTTTAATTTAGCACACCCCTACTCTTCCTTTGATCATCTTTAACCTGATGTGGTTGCTTTCCAGTCAGAATTTCCATAGCTTTTATGGAATCCTTGTGTTTACAAAGTGAATGCATTTGTTGTGTCAACAAGTATATTTTCAAGATGTTATATGTTTGAGACAGTATCATAGGCACTACGTTAATTAGTAAGAAAGATATAATCCCTACCTCGCATATAGTCCCTAACTCACAGAGATTGTGTTGGGTTAGGGGCTATAGACAGAATATAGTGTATTACAGTACTATGATAAGGAGAATATGGGATATCCCCTAACTCAAATCAAGGTATTTTAGAAGTTTTTTCCAGGGACAGTAACCTTTAAGCTAAACTTGAAAGATAACAGTGTGTCTGTTGGTGTGTTTTGGATTTTGGAGTTTGGAAAGGATTTTCAGGCAGAGGCAGCAACATGTGCCACATCATAGAGGGCAGGGGAAACATTCCGAGAACTGAAAGGTAAGAGCATGGAATGGAGTATGGTAGATGAGGGTAGAGCAGTGGATAAACATGTTGGCCACTTTGCACAAAAAGGTATATTTTTAAATTTAAACCCAGAATACACATATGTATAACGAAACCAAAAGTTTCGTAAAATAATTACCTGCACAATGCTCTGGGGTTTGTTTGTTTTTTTTAACTTTTCTGCCCGCTTTTTTTTTATTAATGAGGTGATAAATCCTTTACTATAATTTTCCAATAGCAATTTGAGAAACCCTGGGTTAGAAAAATAGCAGGGACCAGGCGCCGTGGCTCAAACCTGTAATCCTAGCACTTTGGGAGGCCAAGGTGAGGGGATTGCCTGAGCCACGGGTTCGAGACCAGCCTGGGCAACTTGGCGAGGCCTCATCTCTACAATAAATCAACAAATTAGATGGGCGTGGTAGCACCTGCCTGTAGTCCTGGCTACTTGGAAGACAGAGGTGGAAGGGTCGCCTGAGCCCAGCAGGTCGATACTGGGGTGGCCTTGGGCATGCCATTTCACTCCAGCCTGGGCGACAGAATGAGACTCCAACTCAAAAAAGAAAGAAAGAAAGATAGCAGGGCCTTGAAATTCATTGACTTTTCCCTAAGGACTGTAGCATGTCATTAAGACATTTTAAACAAATAAAAAAAATGAAATGGGTGGATTTTAAATGTCTAAATTCACTCAGGCAGCAGTATAGGGAATGGATTGTAGGGAGGCAGTCCTAGGGTAGGGAGACCAGTTCAGTAGCCCTTGCAGTGATTGAGGTAAGAGAAATGAATTAGGACATTGGCAGTAGAGATGAAGTATGCCTTTATATAAGGATCATGCTTGTTGGAGGAAGGTGTTGGGCTCACCTAAGGGTACTGGGTTTGATATTGGGGCATACATGAGGATATCCAGGAGGTAGAGGGTCCTGTGGAACTGATCCCTAGAAAAGTGTAGACCGTAAGTTGAGTATTTGGCATTTCATGGGCCCATGGATAGCAGTTGGAGTAGGAGAGTGAACAGTGAGAAGAGGAGTGGGCCCAGGCCTGACTTCCGAAGACCATCACTCCTCAACTTGAATGAGCATAGGTATCACCTGACGTCTTGTTAAAATGTAGGACTCTGAATGGACCAGAGATGCTCCTTTTCTAACAGGTTCCCAGATGATGCTAGTGCTGCTGGTCTGTAGATCACTCAGACTCTAAAATGTACAATATGAAAACTTAAGGGACAGGCTGAGGAAGAGAAGGTTGCAAAAGAATTTTGGGAGAATCGGTCAGAGAAGAGAAAAATAAGGAGGTAAGTGTTGTCTTGGAAGTAGAGTTGAAGGGAGGAGAGAGTATATAAGCAAGAGGGAAGTAATCCGTAGTGGCAAGCAGTGTGCAGGTGTCAGAAGGTCAGAACTGAGAATGTCTGCTGGATTTATCACCAAGGTCATTGGTGATTTTGATGAGAGCCTTTTCTGGGACATTGTGGAAGTAAAAGCCAGATTACAGCAGGGCAGCCAGTAAAGTAGAGAGGAGGAAATGGAGCATTTTCCAGTGGTTTGTGAAGAGGAGGAAGAAAAACAGGACAGTAGCTGATAGGCAGGGGAATACAAGAGGATTTTTTTGGTTTTATTGTTTGAAAGGTGAAGAGATTTAACTGTTTTCATGTACTGATGGGAAGCAGCTGGGTAGAGAGGAAATCAGGGTAGGATAAGTTATGCTGCAGTGATAACCAACCTGACATTTTAATGGCTTTTCATAAACAGAGGTTTGCTTTCTGTTTACATTACTTGACCATTGGAGTTCGGTTGAGGATTCTGCTTCACATCACTAATTGTGAGACCAGGCTTGTGGAGTTCTGCCCATCTGCAGTGTCCCTAGGTTTGGTGACAGCAGAGAGGGAATAATTCCCTGAGCCCTTGATTCTTTCTTAAGAACTCCCATTCTTATTTCACTGGACAGTAACTCACATGGCCATGCTTCACTTTTCCCTGGATGGGAAAATATAGTTCTACCATATATTTAAAAAGGAGCAATGCAGAGTATTGGTCAACCACCTAGTGACTACTAGAGGGGTTAGAAACAGGAAAGTCAATCTCAGTAAAAGAGATGGCCCTGAGACGTGAAAGAAGTTGCACTGCAAAACTCTGGTAGAGGAGTTAACCTTAAGCAAGAAAGTGCACTCCTATTTTAACAGGAAGAAAAAGAGGAAAGGATAAATTCTGGTACAGGTGAGTTTTAGTGTGGTGGTAACCAATTGAAGGCTTTTCCTTCTTAGGGCTTTTGTTTTGTGAACTACTGTGTGTGAAATGCTGAGGGCAAGCAGGAAGGTGGTATTGGTATGTTACAGAGAAAGGGGAAAGTTTGAAATAGTTGCAGATAATTGGAAAGCTAAGATAGACACAGACAATTTGGTGGACCTACTGAGAGTCTCCTTTGCCAGGATTTAAACCTAGAAGCAGAATATTTGAGGATGTCCAAAAAAGGAGGAAATGATAAAATAGTCATGGAGCATAAAATGTGTCTGAGATTCTCCAGGCAGGGAGATAAAATGAAGGGTGGTGGAACTGAAAGAAGGTTGTTGGATGGGAGGGAGGTAACCTACCATGAAAGGCAAGGTCTAGGTGTGTAATGTAGTGTGTTCACACTGCCTGTAATCTCTGGAAACTCATTGTGGGGAGAACCGCATTAAAAATGTAAACCATGTTTTTATTTAAAAAGTATAGAGTGCCACTGCATTCCAGCCTGGGCAGCAGAGTGAGACCCTGACTCAAAAAACAAACAAACAAATGTTCTGTGCCTAGTTATCAGGAGGTAAAAAAAATTAGAAGATGATTAAGTTTCTAAAATTTTCATAGCTCAGCAAGGATCTTATCTTTGTCAAATCTGTTGTGTATGTTATGCTCATCTCTGAAGCAACTGTTGTATTTACATATTGGCTCACCATCTCCATAAGTGCTGATCAGTGTTATTTACTCCCTTTGAGCTCAGCCATCTTACTTCCCAGTTTACTCTTCTATTTATTGTATGAACTTGCAAATGCTCATTGCAACCAAAATGTTATTGTCAGTGTTCAGCTTTCTTAAAAAATTTATTTTAGAGTTGTGTGGTACAAGTGAGAATTTGTACATAAGTAGGCTGCATGCAGGTGAAATTTGGACTTCTAGCTGGTCTTCACGCTCCCTGGAAGTGGACTGGGTATCCATTGTGTTGTCACATGCCTCATTCCCTCTTCTCTCCCTTGCCTAGCAGTGCCCAGCAACTGTTGATCCTCCTTTTGTGCTAATGTGACTAGTGCTGGGGAGGGGAGGGGGACCACCCATTTACAAGTGAGAATGTGTGGTATTCTTTGTTTCCGTGATAGTTCACTTAGAATAATGGTCTCTAATGGTCTCTAGTTCCATCCATGTTACCATATAGGACATGGGTTTGTTCTTCTCTGTGGCTGTATAATATTCCATTGTATATATATATATACCACATTTTCTTTATCCAGTCCACTTTCGATATCACGAAGTTGGTTCCATGTTTTTGCTATTGCGAATAGTGCAGCAATAAACATGTGTGCAGGTGTCTTTTTGGTAGAGCGATTTATGTTCCTCTGGGTATATTCCCAAGAGAGGGATTGTTGGATCATATGGAAGGCGCCTTTTTAGTTCTTTCAGAAGTCACCACACTGCTTTCCATAAAAGTTGAACTAACTTATATTCCCACCAACAAACAGTATAGCAATGTTCTCTTTCTCTCCAGCCATGCCATCATCTGTTATGTTTTGACTTATCAATGATGACTATCCTTACCGGAGTTAGGTAATATCTCATTGTAGTTTTAATTTACATTTCTCTGATGATTAGTGAGACTGAACATTTTTTTTTTTGAGTTGGAATCTCACTCTGTCACCCAGACTGGAGTGCAGTGGCCGCTCCCGGCCACCACAGCCTCGACCTGCTGGGCCCTGGCGATCCTTCCGCCTCAGCCTTCCAAGTAGCCGGAATTACAAGCATGCACTACCACGCCTGGCTGATTTTTTGATTTATTGTAGAGATGAGGTCTCGCTGCCCAGGCGGGTCTCGAACCCGCGGGCTCAGGCAATCCACTCACCTCAACCTTCCAAAGGCGCGGGATTACAGGCTGAGCCACTGAGCCCGGCGAGACTGAACATTTTTTATGTGCCTATTGATTATTGTACATTATTGTATTTTTGTGTGTCTATTGATTATTATACATCATCCTTTGAGAAATTTCTGTTCATATCCTTTGCCCACTTTTTAATGGGGTTTGTTTTTTTCCTAACAGTTCATGTTCCTTACAGATCCTGAATGTTAGACCTTTTTCAGATGTATAACTTGCAAATATTTTTCCCCATTCCATGGGTAGTCTCTGTACTCTCTTCTTGATGGTTTCTTCTGCTTTGTGAAAGTTTTTCAGTTTGATGAGGTCCTACCTGTCTATCTTAGCTTTTGTAGCATTTGCTTTTGGGGACTTGATCATGAATTCATTGCTTACTCTGATGTTCAAAAAGGGCGTTTCCTCCATTTTCTTCTGAGATTCTTATAGTTTGAGGTTTTACATTTAGGTTCTTGATCCATTTTGAGTTGATTTTTATATATGGTGATAGGTTCAGTTTCATTCGTCTGCATGCTGCTAGCCAGTTTCCCCAGCACCATTTGCTAAATATGGTCTCCTTTCTCCAGTGATTGTTATTGATGGCTTTGTCAAAGATGAGTTGATTGAGGGACCCTGTTTTTACTTTTCTGGAATCTGTCCTGTTCCATCAGTCTTTGTGCCTGTTCCTGTACCAATACCATGCCATCTTGGTTATTGTAGCCTTGTAATAAAGCTTAAAGTCTGGAAGTGTGATACCTTTGTCACTTTGTTCTTTTGCTGAGGATTGTTTTGGCTACTTTTGCTCTTTTTTGTTTCTATATGAATTTCTGTATCGTCGTTTCCAGGTCTGTGAAAAATGATGTTGGTAATTTGATAGGTATTGCATTGAATCTGTAGATGCAGGGCAGGGTGGACATCTTGACAATATTGATTCTTCCAATCCATGAGCATGGGATGTTTTTCCATTTGTTTATATCATCCTTGATTTATTTGCGCAGCAGTCTTCATTATAAAGGTTTTCTGGTTAGTTGAATACCAGGATATTTTACTCTTTTTTTTTTTTTTTTTTTTGCTACTGTGATAGGGAATGTGTTTTTTATTTGGTTCTCAGCCTGCTTGGTAATGTATAGAAATGCAACTGTCTGCTGCATGTTGATTTTGTAACCCAAGACTTTACCAAAGTTGTTTATCAGTGTGAGGAGGTTTTTGACAGACTCCCTAGGGTTTACTAGGTATAGAGTCATATTGTCCACAAGAGGGATAGCTTAACTTCTTTTCCTATTTGGATACCCCTGATTTCCTTCTCTTGTCTGATTGCTCTTGCTAGGACTTCCAGCACTATGTTGAAGAGGAGGGGTGAGAGTGGGTATTCTTGTCTTGTTCAAACTCACTTAGAGGGAATGCTTCCAACTTCTGACCATTGAGCAAAATGTTGGCTGCAGGTTTGTCATAGATGGTTCTTATAGTTTTAAGGAATGTTCTTTCTATGCCTAGGTGTTTGAGAGGGTTTTTATCAAGAAGGGATGCTGGATTTTGTTAAATGCATTTTCTGCATCTATTGAGATAATCATGTGGTTCTTGGTTTTATACCAGTTAATATGTTGAATTACATTTATGGTCTTGTGAATGTTGAACCAGCCTTGCATCCTGGGAATGAAGCCCACCTTATCATGATGGATGATCCTTGAGATGTGTTGTTGGATGTGATTTGCTAGAATCTTGTTGAGAATTTTTGCGTCTGTGTTCATCAGGGAGATTGTCCTCTAATTCTCTTGTTGGGTTTTTGCCAGATTTGGTATATCAGTACATTAACTTAATAAGATGAGCAAGGGAGAATTCCATCCTTCTCAATTGCCTAGAATACTTCAACTTTTTTGGTAATTTTAATAGCCCATTTAGGTTTTAGTAACTTTGAAAATTTAAGATGAAAAAATTTGTAATAATTAGTATGTGAGGGTAGAAGATAGGGGAACCAAAGTTGTAGGAAGAGTCAAAATATTCTTTCTTTGCCAATTATATTAAGACTAATTTTATAGATACTTGTTGGAAAAGATATAGAAGGATATATTCAAAAATGTTAACATTAATTAGGTTTAGAAAGTGGGATTGGGCTAGAGGGCAAGTGTGGGTAGCTTTAACTTTCTTTTAAATATGTTTGTTGAACATATATTACTTTGCATTGTTCTTTTTTAGTTATCAAATCATTTTATTACTTGCTTTCATTTTTATTATAAAGATGTTTTTTCCTTTGCACAAAATAGAGAGCTGTAGTACACATGGATGAACGGCGAGAAGAACAAATTGTGCAGCTACTGAATTCTGTCCAAGCTAAGAATGATGAAGATTCAGAAGCACAGATATCCTGGTTTGCTCCTGAGGATCACGGGTAAGACTAAGAGTGTTGTTTTAAAGAATAGGCAAAGAGTATCACTTCTTTCATAGCATTTGCTAGAGAAAAATGACAATAAAAATAACATCTTTAGATAATTCAATAGGCAAAATTTAGCCTTTAAGTAATTCTTTATTTTTGTGTAGTTCAAGCAGATTTGGAAAAAGATTTTTAAAACGATAGATGGTATATTTTCACAGGGAAGCTGAATGGTATGAATAATTGTATATCTGGATATGAGATTGTACTAAGTTGTTATTTATTGTTCTTCCTACTTATCATCTTTGTAGTTCTGAAATTTTTCTGTTGGGGAGGTCTGCAAAAAATTTAATGACTACTGTTTTAAGAAGGTTGCAAGAACTGCATCATTCGGAGGGAAAATTAGTAGAAATATTTCGGAGACCATGTAATGTATAGCTCAGAAAGTGTGACAGGAAGAAAATGAGAGTGTTGTGAAATAAAACAAGTTCAAGAAAATTAGAACAAGAAAAACACTAACTAGCTACAATGGAAGAATGACTGTTGTGTGGGTTTTTATTTTTAACTACCTCAAGGAATAACCTAACTGGCAATATCTATTTAAAGGGAAGAAAAAATTAGAATTAAATATAAGAATTGAAGTATATATCATAATTGCTTTACTGAGAGAAAAGAAAAGCATTGGAGGTGGGTGATTTTGAAGCAGTGTATTGGTTTGTTTTGTTCTAGGGCTTGAGTGACTCTTCATCTGACATTTTTCATTTTATATTTTGTTAAAATAGATATGGTACTGAAGTTTCTGCTAAGAACAAACCAAGCACAGAGAAGAAACTTGACAACCAGGAAAAGAAATTGATAAACCAAGAAAAAAAACCATTCAGAATCAGGAACAAATTGTATATTGACCGAGACTCTGAGTATCTCTTACAAGACATTGCACCAGATGTAACCTTAGACCAACGATTACTGGAAGATTTACAGAAGAAAAGAAGTGATCTTCGGTATATTGAAATGCAGGTAATAGAAAGCAAGTTGTGGGAAAAAATTTTGCTTGTCATTCTTTTTTCATGATTGATAAAAATGTATGTATGGATAGAAGTAGCTATATGATGTAGACCAATGAGCTTCCTTAACAAGACATCCTCTGGGAATTGTTTACTTTTGAATAGTAGAGAAAAGCAGTAGGAATGGAATTTACATATAACCTACAATATCCTGTCTCATTCACAAAAGCTTAAGGGGTGAGGAGGAGAAATGTTTGAGAAAAGCTAGTGCACAAGAAAAAAAATACCCTTTAACTTATCTAGGCCAGTTGAGTGAGGTGCCATATATAGTCAAAGTGATTAAATTGTATCTTTTTCTCCAGATCATTTAATGTGTCTTTTTATAGATGATGAAATTAAATCTTTTCAAAAGTTATGTGCTGTGTTCATCAACATTTTAATGACAGGACTATGGGAAGAACTGAAATTCTCCTGAATTACTCTAGTATTTTATTTCTGTACTAGGCAAGATATTTTAAGGTCCATTTCAGTTAAAACATAAAATTGTACTCTTTGTTGGTGTTCTAGAGATGTATAGAGATGTAATAAAAGCTTCGTGTGTGTGTGAGTGTGTGTGAGTGTGTGTGAATGCATACTTTTTGCGGGGGGAGTTGGAGTCTCACTCCGTTGCCTAGCCTGAAGTGCAGTGGCATGCTCACGGCCATCCCAGCGTCAACCTGCTGAGCTCAGGCGATCCTTCTGCTGGGCTTAGGCAATCCTTCTGCCTCAGCCTTCCAGGTAGCCAGAACTACAGGTGCATGCTACCACACCCGGCTAATTTTTTCATTTATTGTAGAGAAGAGGTCTCACCAAGTTGCCCAGGCTGGTCTGGAACCCGTGGGCTCAGGCAGTCCTTTCGCCTCGGCCTTCCAAAGTGTTGGGATTACAAACTTGAGGGGCATATATATATATATTTAAGACAAAATACTCAGGGAATTCTGAGGATCGTGTTTCTAATATGCAAATAAGTACGGCTGTTTTTGAGAAAGGTAGGATATTGCATCTCCTGTAGTAAAGAAGGGATCCATTTACTGGGATGGAAGAAAATTAGATTTATTAGAAAAGATGAGCTAAGTTTGTTCAGGGCCAAATTGTGTAGCTCTTTGTTGCTTGTTGAGTAAAGATATGATTTGAGAATGGAGGAGATTTTAAGATGAATTAATTTGAATCTTGTAGTTGAGAGAAGAGTTGCTTTTGTAGCCTTAGGAACAAATGGAATTAGTTACCATCTCTTTGTATGGTGGACAGAACTCACATATTATTGAAGATGTCTAGTCTATCTATTTCAGAGAAAGAAATGGTATTGATGCTCTTTCTAATATCCAGATGCTGTTGTAAGTGTTTCATGCATAATACATCATTTAAACATCCCAACAACCTTGTGTAAGAGACTATGCATGTCTTACAGATAAGGAAAAAGAATCATAGGTTAAGTGATCTACCTAAGGCTGCTCAGATTATTAGATAACAAGGTCTAAAATTCAGTTGTAGTTTAAGAACTCATCCTTTTAATCCTTCTTAGCAAAATTTTGTCTTTATATTTTATTAAACAAATGTAATTTTCTACTTGCTAGATATCAGTTATTGTGCTGTATTTTTTGAAGAGTAATAAGATATTTCCTGTTTTTAGACTGCTTATGACTGAATTATTTCACATTTCAGTTTTAGTCAGAAATTAGGAAGTAGAAAGTTTAGCTTCCTTGGGAAAGAATATCAGGCTATATCTTTACAGTAGCATTTACGTATAGACATACATTTATATAGACCTATGCTAAGATGGATACACTTGACTACATAGAGTATTCATATTTTTAGATGTCATTAAGAAAGTTTTAAAATAACTTTTTAAAGTACAAAAGAAATTAGTAAGAAAAGTATGGTACCTTTGTTATCTTAATGCACTGGAATTCATTTAATGACATTGACTGTCATTTTTATGCTACTAGTGAGTATTGACTGGCCATAACAAGCATAGCAGTTATACATTAGATTATATAGGACAGTTCTAATTTTAAATTTGTTTTTTATTTACTTTAATTTTATTTTTAAATTTTTTTCATTTTAATAAAGGCAGTTTATTAAAACTGGCTTTTTTATGTCACTGAAGGTTTTTTTTTTTCCCTCATTTTATGATGTGCCTAGTCGAATGTAAACCATAGTAGTGTTTTTTGGTGTTTTATATGGTATGGGTATAGGGTTCCACAAAAGTTTTCAAAATTAGAAAAAATTATCACATAAATAAAAAATCTATAGGAGAGAGTCATTCCAGTTTTAGTATTCTAATTGTAATTCAGTAGATTATAAATTTATTGAGTAGCTTATATGTGTCAGAAACTGATATGTGCTTTTTAGATAAAGGTTTTTCATTAAAAACTTGTGTGAGATAAAACCTTTGAGGTATTCATTCATGCTTTGAGTTTGACCTAACTAAGGTCACAGTGCTAAAATGACAGTACCAGATTTTCTGGCTCTAGGTGTTACTTGTTTTAAGTTTTCTCTTACACTCATACTTATACTGAAATAATCTTTGAATCTGCTCCAGTGTCTAATATGTCTGTAAATAGTACACAGATGGTGGGAAAAGAATGTGATACAGAAATCAAATCTAAGATGAATATATAAAACAAATGTGTAGAAAAAAATGGTAAAAGTTATTTAGAGGTTGTTAGATCTCAGTTAGATTTTATTTTACTGCCACTATAAGGGATTGTCTATTCTGTTGGATGTAGTAGAATCTGGTTTTGAGTGTTTCAAAAATAAAAGAATTGGTAATTTATTTTTTTACAAATTTGTTTTTGGCTTACTACTTCACACAAGCCATAAGATAAAACACTTTTGGATTCTAGCATATTTACCTAGGATATATCTTGATTACCATGATTATAACTTAGTTATGTTTCTTTTGTAAAAATTAAAATTTTTTTTTAAATTTCAGCGTTTCAGAGAAAAGCTGCCTTCATATGGAATGCAAAAGGTAAAATTCTCTCCACGATTTAATTTGAATTGCAGATTAAGTACACAAGTTTTTTAAAGCTCTGTATCAAGAAATATAAATGAATGAAACTTCTAACAGTATATTATTAGAAGTTGATTTTATTCTTTTGAATTTTGGGGCAAAACAAAGGGTTTTAAATAATTTTCCTTATATTTTCTCATATTTGTGTCCATAATTGAAATCCTTGGAGTTTAAGAAGTAGAATTTTCTCATATAAGTTACTCTTGGTAAATACCCTGCATTTAATTAAAAACCAAACACTTCAGTTAAAATTGAGATACTACTAAAAATACAATGTTTTAATTTATTGTATCTTATGACATGATTACCTTATACAGAATAATATAGCCTCTCATCCTTCTCTTCTCCCAACCTTATTTAGTTTTTATTTTTGCATTTCATAGCACTTATTTCCACTTGACATCTGTGTGTCTTCCCTTCAGGCCAATGTAGTTTCTTGAGGACAGTGTTTATTTTGTTCACTCTGTGTCTCCTGACTCAGAGCAGTATCTGACATTTGATAGATATCCAGTAAATAGCTGTTGAATGAATAAATCACATTCCACTTCTCCGTAAGTATCAGCAGTGATTTCAGTGTTCAAACATAAAACTTATTTTAATATGTTAGAATAGATGGAAAATTTTGAAAAGGTGGGTTTTTAAGTTAAATTGTTGTGTAGATGAAAATAACCCATAACATCTTTTTGAAGTAGTAAGATGGTTTTGTTTAGATAGTGAATATTATTAAAAATACTAATATATATCTAAAAATTTTTAGGAAAGAGGTTTTCTAGATACCCTTGACTTAGGTATTTAATAGCTTTATTTTAATTATTTGAAAGGCAATAATCTTACTATATATTATATGCTCCCTTTTTCCTAAAAAATGTATAAAACTTGTTCTGCAGACATCCATAATGTCCTCAAGAGTTATCTAGGCCAGGGGTTTGCTTGTATATTCAGTAGCCCCAGATGTCAACATTATTTTAATTTAATGTTAATTCTTATGCATGGAACTTATAAGCTGTCTCTTCTTGTTTATATCAGTATGTTTTTCTTACAGTGCCTTGACTTTGTTCTTTAATTTGGTACTACTTATCTTTTGAAAATTGGCAGATCTGGATATCCAAACTATACCAGTATTGCACTTAACAAAATTTAGAAAGCATTAGTATGTTTGTAAAAGTAATTACCTTCAGATGGCAGGATTTTGGTTAATATGTTTTAGACTTAGCATGTGATATTCACTTATTTTTTTCTTTCGAAATAGAAATTGGTGGACTTAATTGATAACCATCAGGTGACAGTAATAAGTGGTGAAACTGGTTGTGGAAAAACCACTCAAGTTACTCAGTTCATCTTGGATAACTTCATTGAAAGAGGAAAAGGATCTTCTTGCAGGATAGTGTGTACTCAACCAAGAAGAATTAGTGCCATTTCAGTAAGTAACCTCTGACTTTTAAAATTTTCCTTTTTTAAAGAAATCTTGCTAGGATATAGTGATTTTGAAAGTTTGAAGGTAGGATTTCTTGCTTTGAAATCAAATATTTGATTGACAAATACATGACAGTTAAGGCCAAAAGATTGAGTGACCTCTTCTTATAGATAATAGATGTTTTATAAATTCAAGATAAATTCTATAACCAGGCAAATTTCAGCATGGATTCAAAGAATGAAAAATTGATAAAATGTTTATGGAATTGATAACAAGCTTCAAATAATCGTCATGATGAGGTGCTTTAAATTTTATTACTTAATTTATTTAATGTTTTAAATTCTTTCTGATTTTTTTTATCCTATAACTACACTGACGAATGGTGGTAATAAGTGGGAAACAATGCCTTTTTAAAAAAAGCTACATTAGTCTGTAACTAGTCTGATTACACTGTAGTCAGTGATTTTGAATGCAGTTACTAGAAAAAAGTTACCATGAGGAAATTATTTCAGGTTTGTCTTGTTTTTTGAAGTGATCTATCTCATTTATATAATCTTGGTAAGTCCTAGATTTTGAGACTGCAAGTACTAGTAATAGTTACAAGTACATCTTTATTAAAGATTGAGTTCCTGAAATTCAGAATGTTCCAAAATCCAAAACTCTTTTAGTGCTAACACAGTGCTCAAAGCCAGTGCTCATTGGAGTATTTCACATTTTGAATTTTCAGAATTGGGATTTTGGGGGAGGGGGGAGCGTAAGTGCAATGCAAATATTTCAAAAATTAAAAATATCTGAGGCTGGGTATGGTGGCTCACGCCTGTAATCTCAGCACTTTGGGAGGCTGAGGCAAGAGGATCGCCTGAGTCCAGAGGTTCGAGACCAGTCTGGTAATCTGAAATCTGAAATCCGAAATACTTCTGGTCCCAAGCATTTTGGATAAGGGATAGTTAACTTATACAAATAACATTTGCCCTTTGGTGTTTTGTTTTTCCATTGTTTATAGTTTGATAACCTAGTTAAATATGTGAATGATATATTTGTTAAAGTTTTGGAGGTTTCTTATAATATTCAATGTGTATAGTGAATTTATTTCTCTTTTGTATAATTCTGTGTATAAATTTAAATTATGAAGATTTATGATTGTCTTTACTTTTATGATAGTGCTATTATTAACACATGTCTAAGTCAATTAATGTAGAATCTGCGATTCAGAACTGCATTTCCAATTATTATGGAAAAAATTACCAGTAACTACAGCATATATTTTAAGCTGTAGTTTCTAAGAAATACTGTAAAAAGAAAAAGCAACAGTCCTTCACCCTTCTTTTGTATAAATTTATGGGCTACTAATGTGATTTTGTTATGTGCATGGATTGTATAGTGGTCGAGTCAGGACTTTTAGGATACCCATCACCTGATGAACACACATTGTACCCATTACATGGTTTCTCATCATCTACCTCTCACCCCCTCACTCTTCTGAGTCTCCATTGTCTGTCATTCCACTCTATCTCCATGTGTGCACATTTTTTAACACTTTTGAGTGAGAACATGCTATGTTTCTTGCTGGATTCACTTATGGTGGCCTTCATTTTCATCCATGTTGCTGCGAAAGGCATGATTCCGTTCTTTTTTATGGCTGAATAGTGTAATGTATATATATCACATTTTCTTTTAATCATTAGTTGATGGACACTTCATGTTGATTCCGTGGCTTTGTTATTGTGAGTACTGTTGGAATAAACATACTAATGCAGGTATCTTTTTGATATGTTGATTTATTTTCTTTTGAGTAAGATTGCTGGGTGGATGAGCAGTTGAGGTGTTGCTTCTGAAATCTGTAATCAGTTCCAATGACCTGTATTGCCTGTTTGTGGACCAGTACCAGGCTGTTTTGATTATTGTATCCTTATAATAAAGTTTAAAGTCCGGGAGTGTGATACTTCCTACTTTGGTTCTTTTGCTAAGGATTGTTTTGCCTATTTGTGGTCGTTTTTGTTTCCATATGAATTTCTGTATTGTGCTGAATGGAATAGTAGTTCTATTTTTAGTTATTTGAGAATTCTCCATACTGTTTTCCATAGTGGTTGCACTAATTTAAGTTCCCACCAACAATGTATAAGAGTTCCATTTTCGAGCTGGACTTGGTGGCTCAGCCTGTAATCCCGCGCCTTTGGGAGGCTGAGGTGAGTGGATTGCCTGAGCCCGTGGGTTCGACACCCGCCTGGGCAGCGAGACCTCATGTCTACAATAAATAAAAAAGTCAGCCAGGCGTGGTAGTGCATGTCTGTAATTCCGGCTACTTGGAAGGCTGAAGCGGAAGAATCGCCGGAGCCCAGCAGGTCAAGGCTGCGGTGGCCGGAGCGGCCACTGCACTCCAGTCTGGGCGACAGAGTGAGACTCCAACTCAAAAAAAAAAAAAAAGAGAGAGAGAGTTCCATTTTCTCCACATCCTTGCCAACATCTATTATTTTTCATCTTTTTAATAATAGCCATTCTCTTGGGGTAAGGTGCTATCTTATTGTGGTTTTAATTTGCATTTCTCTGATGATTAGTGATGTTGACCATTTTTTCATGTACCTTTTGGCCATTTGTATGTCTTTTGAAAATGTCTATTCTTTGCCCACTTTTTAATGGGATTTTTGTTGTTGTTATTCAGTTGAGTTCCTTATATTAGTCCCTCGTTGGATGAATAGTTTGCAGAGATTTTTCTCCCATTCTGTAGGTTGTCTGCTTTTTGATTATTTCTTTAGCTGTGCAGAAGCTTTTCAGTTTAATGACGTCCTATTTGTCTATTTTTGGTTTTGTTGCCTGAGGTCCTAGTCATGAATTCTTTGACTAGGCCAGTGTCCAGAAGAGTTTTCCAAAGGTTTTCTACTATTTCTATAGTTTTGAATAGTCTTTATCCTTTTATAGGGTCCAAATTCCTATAAATTGTGTAAGATCACAGAATGATGAAAAATAAACCATTTTTGTCATAACAAAATTAAATAGCTAGACTTAAATATCATTTCACTAAATATATGACAGTTACCATTTATATTGACAGTAGAACTTGGTGAGACCTCATCTCTACAATAAATCAAAATGAGCCAGGCGTTGTAGCGCACACCTGTAGTTCCAGCTACTTGGAAGGCTGAGGCGGAAGGATTGCCAGAGCCCAACAAGTCGAGGCTGCGGTGGCCGGGAGCGGCCACTGCACCCCAGTCTGGGTGACAGAGTGAGACTCCAACTCACAAAAAAAAAAAAAGAAAAAAAAGAAAAAGAAAAATGCTAACTAGGTTTTTTTTTTTCCTAATTTTTTCCAAGATCTGTTGGAATTTGTCTTCAAGTTATACTCAAGTTTTACAAATTTAGACCATGATTTTCAGCTCTTTTAGAAAAAACAGGAAAGTAGAAATTAATGAGAGGGTGGTACAGAAAAGTACTATGAAAATAGTTATTAGAGAGAATAAGTAAACTTGAGAAGCAAGTAGTCTGCAGCTCTTAAGAAAAGTACACACAGTTTTAGATACCTCAGATATTAGTAAATAACTATTTTTTTTAACTCATCTGAAAACCTGAATAATAATTTTTCAGCAATCCCAGATTTTCATGGATTTTCAGAGTATTTGTTCCAAAGGTAATTCTATTTAATTTATAACTGCATTTTCTTTTAATTAAAGGTTGCAGAAAGAGTGGCTGCAGAAAGGGCAGAATCTTGTGGCAATGGTAATAGTACTGGATACCAAATTCGTCTCCAGAGGTAAGGAGTGTTCACTTGTGTACAGGTGGACTTTAGTGAAACTGGAAAGTTGAAGATGCAAAAGCAAGCACATTTTCCCCATTTTTGTGACAGTTACTAGTATTATAATTAGTCTTTACAGCAAATGCAGCATAGATGGCTTGTTACCACAAACTCATCTTTCAACCTCAAATTAGATTTTCATTGCCTTTTTAAAATGTGCTTTTACATATGGAATGATTTAAAAAATAACTTTTTTCCTGGACATACATTAATAGACTATGACTCCCCCTAAAAGGATGGTCTACTACACTTTGGGTACCATCGACACGCCCCGTGACTGACTCATTTATTGATTTTGGTATCTTTAACCTCCGTCCTACTCCACCGTGCAGTACTTCTTTAGTCAGTTTCTGCGGCTCAGGATTCCATTTGCCTTTTTAAATGAGCAAACTTTCTAATCATGAAGCAGAAATGTAGGCCCTATAAGTAATTCAGTTTTTCTCCGAATGTTAACAGTTACAACTATAAAAAGAAATTAAAGTTGTGTCATAACAATAAAGATAACATATAATGAACTTGAATTTAGTGTTTTCTGTGACCTTATATTGGTAGTTAAGTGGTCCTATAACTAAAAAATTAAGTATGAAGATTTTCACTAAAACTGAAAACATTTATAGTAAATTACTAGAAAAGAAAACCAATAATTATTAATTCATGTCTTTTCTTCACAGTCGGTTGCCAAGGAAACAGGGTTCTATCTTATACTGTACAACAGGAATCATCCTTCAGTGGCTCCAAACAGACATGTATGTTTCAATTAAGGAAATACAAATATTATCAAAAGATGTAATTATTAACTGGATTTTACCAGTTAAAGAAAAATTGTCCTTAAATTGTGTACTTCTGCTTTAGGCATTTGTCCAGTGTTAGTCATATCGTGCTTGATGAAATCCATGAACGAAATCTGCAGTCAGATGTTTTAATGACTGTTATTAAAGATCTTCTCAATTACCGATCTGACCTGAAAGTAATATTGATGAGTGCAACGTTGAATGCTGAGAAATTTTCAGAATATTTTGGTGAGTAAAATTTATGATTATGTTAGAGAAATTACCAGAAAACCAATGAATTTAATTTTTTAAAAAATGAATACAGTACTGGGTATAGAATAATCAAAATAAATATTTTACAATTCATTTTATGTTAACATGATTCTACTCTCTGGTTTCATGGGTTAGAGAATTGGACTTGTTTTTAAATGGTGACATCATCTCTGTTCTTATATGGAAGGCATGTAGCTTCTTATTGCTACTACCGGAACATTAAGGTGGCATAAATGAAATCAAACCACAGATTTGAATAATTGTATAAACTTTTTGTGATTTTCCTGGGGCTCTTATGTACTGTCACAGGCTGGGGTGGAGTTTGCTAACCATATTACTAGTGACTGCTTATAGAACACCTTTACTGTGCCATGTAGTACGCTTTGCACTTCGTCTTCATTAATCCTCACAGTACCTTGTGAGGTAGGTACTACTGTTATTCTCATTTTTATGGGTGAGATAGCAGCCTCTGAGTGGTTAAGTAGCTTACCCAAGGTTGCATAATTAACAGAAGGATGAGAAGATCTGAAAGTAGATTTGATTAGATTGCAGAGTACATTCTTTTAAAATTATGCCATGTTGTCTTGTCTGCTTATAATTGTGGAGGAAGGAGGGAATTAAAATGTAATATAGTTAAATTTAGTAAATGTTTGTGTCTTCTGCTTTTCAAAAGTCCTTTGAAATATGTATTAATTTTCAAAGTCTTATAAAATTAGTTGGGGCAGGTATTATTTTCTTTTTTTCTTTTTCTTTTTTTGAGTTGAGGGTCTCACTCTGTCATGCAGGCTGGATTGCAGTGGCACAATCATAGCTCACCACAGTCTTGGCTGCCTGGGCCCAATCAGTCTTTCCACCTCAGCCTCCCAAGTAGCTCAGACTACATGTGCATGCTGTCACACCTGATTGATTTCTTTGTTGAGACAAGATCTCACCAAGGCTGAACTCCCAACTCCTCATCTCAAGCCGTCCTCCCACATCAGCTTCCCAAAGCACTGGGATTACAGGCATGAACTATTGTGCCTGGCCTCTGTCATTTTTGAATATGAGATACTTAGAACTAACATTGAGTACTTAATTCACATTTATACAAGTCAGAGGCAGACCATTATACCAGCTCAGATACTTTGACATCTGATATGATGTTGGCCTTTGTTTACAGTGTCTACTGCTTGTTTTGCTTGTTATGAAATATAAATAGCATTTAAATAACAGTATTAAGATGACTTTTTATCAGTGATTTTTGAAAAAGAGTAAGTAACAATATAATATTCACACAGGTCTTATTTTGACTATTTTTCTCCCCTAATTCTGTGTACCTCAAGGAATCATGCTTATCTAGATTTCAGTAAAACTTAGATTCTGATGTGTCACTATTTTGGCTAATGTTGAAGAGACTTCTAAATAATGTATTTTGAGTTCCATTTAAAATAGTGTATTCTTTGATTTCTGTTATTTTGTAGAACTGTGAGATAGGTGTGCAGTGTGGTAGCAAAATGGTGTTATGTGAAGGCTAGACTGATGCTTTTTGTTAAACTAGATACGGGAAAATAAGGTAGAACAGTAAAAGCTGCAGGACCATTTTCTATAATTAGAGGTCATAACTAATAGAGTTATTGTCCTATTTATAGTATGTTGGTTTTTTTTTAACATTTGATTACAAATGTATGTTTATATTTTATTTGTTATTATAGGTAACTGTCCAATGATACATATACCTGGTTTCACTTTTCCGGTTGTAGAATATCTTTTGGAAGATATAATTGAAAAAATAAGGTAAGTAAACATTAAGAAGTGAAAGAAATTTTAAAAGTACTAATATGTGACCTTACTTATGTCAGACTTTAGTCTCAGAAACCCCACTACTGACTACTTTCTTAAACATTTTTTTTAAATGAATTATGGATTCACAAACTTGGCTACACATTAAAACTCCTTAGAGCTTCTAAAAGTCCAGGTGCTCAATTTTTATATCCTACCTTCATTACATTACAGTGTCTGGTGTGGTAGTCATGTATTGGTATTTTTTGACAGTCTCTTGGTGGCAAAGTTTGGGAAGCTCTTTCTTTAGTGTTTGAACCTCTCTTGTAGTGCCTAGTCTTGTAGTCCATGCTAAATACATTGTCCCATGATATGCCAGCTCGTGCCTTACATTCATGAGTTTGTGCTGTTGCATGTTGTTTCCTCTCTTTAGACTTCACTTTGCCATCTTCATCCTGGCAAATCTGTAAACTATTGATCATGTAAGAAAAATCCCAGCTTCATTACCTATGAAGCCTGCTCTACAAACAGAGTGGCTTCCCCATCTGGACTCATAGAACACTTTTGTCATATCTCTTAAACACTTCACTTACTTGCCACATAGTGGATCGCTTCCTGTTTGCCTCTTGCGCTAGATTTCAAACTTTTGGAGGTCTGGGATTTTGTCTTGTTCATCAAGTAACTAGTGCATAGCACAGTGCCTGGCCTATAGTAAACATTTGAGTAAATAAAAGGGTTGATGTAGAAACACTTGTGATGGGATTTTTCAAGACTCTGGAACTCACTTGTTAAACATGAAAATTAGGACATTAGAGTGTGAAGGTGTGGTCAAAGATCCTATAACTTGTTTTACATGGGAAAGCCTGCTAGATTTCGCCTGGCCATTTGTGTAACAAATATTTATTAAGTTTTACTCTATGCTTTGCACTATGCTAGTGTCTGAGCACAAAGCAAGGAAAGACTGGATACATGCCGTCAGAATTTCTACTTACATAGGGAGCTATTATTGTGGTTGGGGGAAGTGACTAGTATATTGGAAATGAGATTATATGTCAGGTGTAAACTGGGCAGGCCAGGAAGGCAGTGGAAGTCAGAGTAGGAAAAGGAAAATGTGGATGTCAGAGAGGGTGGGATGTACTGAACATGTGAGAGGCAGCAGGTGATGCTCTTCTGTGATCTGATTTTATTATCAGTGGCCACAAATTGTCTGTGTTCCTCAGTTCCACTTTCCACCATGTGTCCTGCTTCTGAGCGTGGCATGTTTAGCAGTTGCTTCCTAAGACAATAATAGACAGTAGCTGGACAATCATGAAAAGGTTTGAGGTTCAGCAATTTAAAGTTACATAATGAAAAACTTCTTTCTTAAGCTCCGTAGTAGGCAGGGAATGCATAAGGAGCTGTAGCCAGGGGTTCTTCTCTTGAAGGAAAAAGGTGGTATTTACCATCTCCTAACCAACTCTAAGGAGAATTGAAGGAGAGTGGTCCTTGCTTAGAGATTTCCATCAGAATCCCCCAGCTCTTCCCTTCCCAGAAAAGCAGCTTAACAGGGAGGCAGGAAGGAAGAAATACCCTGACCAAACCAAGAATGGGGCAAGAGGATGTGGAGGGTTGGAATTGGGCACTGTGATTGGGGTTGGGGGCTGAAGGTTACCTCTGTTTTTGGAATTTCTGGGAAGAGAGCCAATGTGGGTTTATCTTGCTGACAGGACCGATCTCTGTCTCAGGTTGCCCTGCCTCAAGTTCGTGCCTCTATATGTAACGAAGACTTAGGGGAATTCTGGGTCACAGGTGACTGAATAGGGAAGGGGATTAACACTTGGAATGTCTACTGTATATCAGGCGCTGTGCTTTTCTTTATCACATTTTTAGAATGTTCATGCCAATACTATTATAAAGATACTAATCTCTCAAATAAGAAAATGGAAGGCCAGGAGTTTGTCTAAGATCACACAGCTAGTCAGTGGCAGAGCAAGGACATCAATTCTATCTGACTCCAAAACCCATGCTTCAGCCACTCCCTTTTTCCATCTAGATGTTGTCCTCTAGGTGAACTTAGAGAGATTTTGAGTTTAAAGTGTGCATTCATTTTCCTTTGTCATTCCCCACCCCCATGCCTTTCAAAACCCATAGTAGTAGGTAGAATTATTGACCAGATGTGTCCTCTCTGTGTTTTTAGCAATCACTGTAGGGTGATGGAGTCATAGTATAGCTTTGAATTGACACACAAGAGGTTTGGATGCTGATTCTGGATCTGCCATTAGCTATAACTGTGTGACTGAGCAGAATTAAATAGTTCTCTAGCATGTAGGTCTATGGATACACTGTCTGAATCTCCTGGGGACACTGATGAAAATTCTTAGACTACCAGACCCCAGACAGACCTACTGAATTCATATTACAGGGGATAAGATTTAGGAATCCGTATTTTATGTGCTCCCCGGGGGATTTTTTTGTGCAGTCAGGTTTTGAAAACTCCAGTATTTTTAAATCTTTGTGCTGAACAGTCATTAACTGTTACTTTGGACTTATACTGTTAGCTTCTATTTTAGAGCAAACTTAAAATTGAGAGTAAAAGTAACTAGTATTTATTTTTCTTTTGTCTACTAAAGATGGGCTGTTTAGGTTTATTTACTGCAATAGGGAAGAATGACTATCTAAAATACCAGGTTTTAAAATACTTACAAATAAACTGATATTTTAACAAGCATTTACTTGAGAGTATAGTGAAAATGATTTTTAGAAACTTTTAAAAAATCCTAAGTGTTAAAAGTCACAGATATTAGCTAAAATCAAAGAGTTTCAAAAGAGGGAAAATATTTAAGTGTGTTTTTATTTTAGATATGTTCCAGAACAAAAGGAACACAGATCTCAGTATAAGAGGGGGTTCATGCAAGGGCATGTAAATAGACAAGAAAAAGAAGAAAAAGAAGCAATCTATAAAGAACGCTGGCCAGATTATGTAAGGGAACTTAGAAGAAGGTGAGTTGATTTGTCTGAAGTCAAGAATATAGTGGTTAAATGACTGAAACAAAAAGCCAGGTGTGGGAGGGTTGCCTTCTTGAATTTGTACCTGCTTAAGGGAGAGTGTTGTGAATCTCCTAAGTACTTTGTTGAGTTGTCTTGTAAGCACTGTTGCCCCAGTGATTCTCTCCCTCATTTGCAGACTGAATTAATTTTTAAGTTTTTATAGCAAGTTAAATCATAAGAAACTTCATCAAGTATTTCATGACTCTCTTTAACTTTGATAGGTATTCTGCAAGTACTGTAGATGTTATAGAAATGATGGATGATGATAAAGTGGATCTGAATTTGATTGCTGCCCTTATCCGATACATTGTTTTGGAAGAAGAGGTTAATTTTTATTTTTTTTCAAGTAACATAATTTTAATTTTATTAATGTATCAAGGCCATGAAAATAATTTTTCTAAATACTTCTGAAAAATAAACTGTGGAAGAAACTGCTTTTGACACTAGAAATAGATTTATAATATCAAAAGACTTAGATATCTGACCTATTTGAGGACAAGACTAAGCAAATAAGACATCTGAATTATAAATCTTATTTTTAAAAAGTAAGCTTGTATTCTTTTCTTTTAATTATTAACTAAGATTATCCTGCAGTAGTCTAATTTTACTGAAGACTTAAGTTGCGTACATTTATTGTTACTGTGTTTTGCTGATGTGATGCTTTGTAATGTTATTTCCCTTTGAATAGGATGGTGCAATACTGGTCTTTCTGCCAGGCTGGGACAATATCAGCACTCTACATGATTTGTTGATGTCACAAGTGATGTTTAAATCAGGTATTATATAGATAATCTTACTGCAATTCCAGAGTGGTATTTGAGTCATTTATGACTTGTTCATTTGGGTTTTTTTCCCTTTCATTTGAAGAAGTGTTGCTTCTGACTTTCCTCTTAAGAATTTGGTGACCTGAGCCCAGGTTGGGTTTTTCAAAAGTCAGCATCTTTCTGAAGTTTAGGCCACAGATGAAAGTGATGCTCTTTATTAAATATTACGAAGAGAATATTTCACTGCTCTTCTTTCCTCAGTTTGCCAAATAAAATCGGCTCTTGAATTTAAAATGTTGACATTTGCGGTTTTTCACTCATTGTTGCAAAAAAGTGAATTTGTGTTAGTCCAGTGTTCTCTGAGCTCTGACTGTACAGTAGAATCACCCACAGAGCATTTTTGTAGTTCAGATTTCCATACCCCATCCTCACCCCTAATATAAGAAAGCGACCTGAACATCTGTAGGTTTTATACGTTCTGTAGTTGAGTCTGATTAACTGTGTTTTGAAAGACATAAACTCTTCGTCTTAGAGAAATGTATGAGTGCTAAAAGAATAAAGGTGTATTTTTATTTGTTATTGTAATGCCCTCAAAGCATTCTCTGTACTTAAACTTAGTCACCATCTAACTGGCAAAATATTTTGATCAAATTACCATGACCTCTTTATAAAGAAATACTGTGTAATGAAAATTTTTAAACATACAGAAAAATGGAGACTCATAATGAATACCATATACCCATGGCTTCAGTGTAGCAATTATTTTTCCGATGTACTTTTTTCTTCTTTAAATTGTAGCTGACAGCCGGGCTTGGTGGCTCAGCCTGTAATCCCACGCTTTCGGAGGCTGAGGTGAGTGGATTGCCTGAGCCCGCGGGTTCGAGACCCGCCTGGGCAGCGAGACCTCATCTCTACAATAAATCAAAAAATCAGCCGGACGTGGTGGTGCATGCCTGTAATTCCGGCTACTCGGAAGGCTGAGGCGGAAGGATCGCCGGAGCCCAGCAGGCCAAGGCTGCGATGGCCGGGAGCGGCCACTGCACTCCAGTCTGGGCGACAGTGAGACTCCGACTCAAAAAAAAAATAATAAAAATAAATAAATAAATAAATTAAGCTCATCTAATTATATGTAGGAATATAAATTAAGCTTTATATGTCTCAGTGTCTCAGTTCATTGGCTTATATATGTTTGATGGAGGTTTTCTGCAACTCTGTATCTTAAAAGTTTAATTTTCTTTTTAATTTCAGATAAGTTTCTAATTATTCCTTTACATTCACTGATGCCTACAGTTAACCAGACACAGGTATGTTGTTAAATGTATTTATTCTTTGTCTTTTAGACTTAGGCAAGCTTTTAAGGACTGTTTATTGTGTTTCATTTTTTTTTTTTTTTTTTTAAGGAGCATTTTGAAGTAGTAATTCATAGAAAAATACATCTTTGAAAACCTTTGCAAACGAGTCTTTAGGGGATGATTGCATAAAAACTTGAATAACAGGGTAATCTACAAATCAGATTAGTTTTGTCTACATTAGGAAAAAGTTTACAGAATTGGTTTTACCAATAACTGTTTGTATTTTTTGAATAAAAGAAAAAAGTATGTGAGGCTACCACTAAAAATAACTCAACCTAGAAATTATCTACATTGTTCTACAGGTTGATGTTTGAGATTTTAGCAAAATTAGTATAATTGCAGGTATGAGGTTTCCATTTTTTCTTATAATGTATTATGAATGTTTTAGGTCTGTCAGAGACAGGGATTTACCAATTAGAATGAACAGTGTTTTCAGAGGTAAGATAATTTATGAACTACAGTGTTGGCAGGTAAAATGAAATTGATCAGAAAATCTGCCTCTCTTCACTTCTAGTTTCTCTTCCCCTTTTTGTCAAAATACTTTTTATTGAGACCCTTTCAGTATCCTTTTTGCTGATACCTTAGTCCTGAATAAGACTCAGCTAGCTGAATTAGATACAGTGTACCTGGGGGAAGAAGGAAACTCTTGATTCCAGAGACTGGACAAAAGAGAATCTCATGTGGAGGTGCTTCCATCTTAGACACCATAAACTAATAAATTATTTATTTTTTTGCTGGAGAATATGTGTCTAGCCTGGGAAACATTTTGTGTATTGATTACCATTTTTATATAAATGAAGGGATGTGTTTATGCATTTTTTTTGCATTATAGCCAGTGGTACTTTACCTGGTTTCTACAGCAGGGCAGTACTGTTTGTAGGAGTTCACATTTGAAGAGGGTTTTTTTTTTTTTTCACTGCAATCTGATCTTAAGCTAGTATACAGTTTTACAGCCAGCTGACATTCATTTTGATGGGTTGGGTATCTGCCTGATGCATCAGTGTTCTTACCTGTGGAGGTTTGGCCTCATAATCTTTATCCTTAAAGTAAACCTCTCTCCTACTTACATCCGCCAGCTTTTGTTAAAAGACATGCCGTAAATTTAAATCATGCTATTTCATTTGAATCTTATTTATGATAAGATTGTGACATCGTGGGAGATTTAGTTTGGTTTACCAAAGGATAATTTTGTAGTATTTAAAATGATAATACTTTATAAATATATCTATAAATATTAGATGCATATGTCAATGAATGAACACATATGCTAAAAATGAAAATTTTCTGAAGTAATTCCTCTAATTGCAAAAGTAATTACTGGAAATTAGTGTTCTTTTGGGATTTTGATGTATTTATTTTTACAGGTATTTAAAAGAACCCCCCCTGGTGTTCGGAAAATAGTAATTGCTACCAACATTGCAGAGACTAGGTAAAAATAGTTTTAAATATCAACTACTGCTCATTGCATAAGTTTTGAGCACCATAAAGTATTGACATAGCTTAGGTTTTTTTTCTCTACAAGATACCTTATAATTTTTTTTAAAAATAAAGCTTTTTTAACTTCATAGCAGTAAGCATAGTTGTGTTTTTTTAGCCCCATAAAATATTATTTTAGTATTTTAGCCCTTTTCAGAAATAAGTCTTTTAATTTTTTTTTTTTAAGTCTTTTAATGAAGCATGGAAGCTGATGTCAGTTTTGTCCTTTCTGCCTGTTACTGATTTGGGGTGGTATTATTTGGTCACTAGTTATATCCAGCTTTAAAATTTTTTGTATTCTCTTGGAGGTGTTAATATACAGTTCAGTCACTGAAACAGACTGTTTTATGGAAGTGGTATTAAACCATGGCATGATTGGGGGTGGGCACAGAGCTAGGCATCCAGGCAGACTGTGAAGTTTGGCTGTGGCCAAGTAAGAATTTAGCATACTATCCACAGAATTGGGACTGTACTATTACTGTAGCTACTCATGCTGCCTACTGCTGAATACTTGGTCCCTGTGACATTGATAAATGTCGGAAGAGTGGTGAAAATCCTGAATAGCTTAAAACATTTGGATGAAATAAAAAATATTCTGAAATGTATATCTGTTGGCCTGTTATAGGTTAATAGTGCTTTTGATGTGTTTTTAACATTTTAAAATCTGTTTTCCAAACAGCATTACTATAGATGATGTAGTTTATGTGATAGATGGAGGAAAAATAAAAGAGACACACTTTGACACTCAGAACAACATCAGTACAATGTCCGCCGAATGGGTTAGTAAAGCTAATGCCAAACAGAGGAAAGGTCGAGCTGGAAGGTAAGATGGAGACTTTGTCTAGCTTTTAGAACACAAACCAATTTAATGGAGCAAACTGTATTGCTGGCCTTTAAAGATAATTACTAGAAGAATACCTTTCATATTATTTTGAACTTACTGCAGGACAGTTTTTAAATAGGAAAATTGTTTTAAATCTTACATTCGGAGACATCTCGTGAATCACCAACCAGCATCTTGACTGCACTTTTTTACAAGATAGTGAAAAACAAATCACTTCATATTAAATAGTATAGCACTGGAACCAGTTATTTTATTGTAATGATATTTGGCTTATAATGGAATTTTAGACATTGAGTAACTTAATAATGACCAAAAAAAACCACAAAATTTTTGATCTTACATTTTTCTAACGTGTGGTAAGCTGTCAAACAGTCACCAACATGCAGGGCAATATACTTTGTTTGATGTCTTCCACCGGTGTTTTTCTATTCAAGCAAACAAGGCAGTCTCATTTTCTTCCACATTATTGATATGTAATTTATTTTCCAGTCTGTGTACAACTGTGAAAGTTCTTCATATATTCTCTTTATATGTAACTCCAGCTGTTATTTTTTAACATCTATCTCAGTATATATTCCATGTCTTAATTTACTTTCTCACACAATTTGAGTGGAGAACTTTAAGGAAGCATACTTTTTGAAAAATTTGCACTGCTACAAGTTTGCCCTGTATAAGTACTAGCAATCTTTTATGTCCCCTGGGAGGGGACATACGAGTGCTAGATTTACGATGTCCCCTCTAAAGGGATTTGAGTGCAAAGAGTTTATCATAGTTTATTTGGAAAAGTATCTGTCAGGTGTTTTTTGTTTGTTTGTTTGTTTGTTTTTTGAGAAAGCAGGATTTATTGAGAGGACAGGAAATCTCCCACAGTGGGAGGGAACCAAGGGAGTTGCCCCAGGTTTTCTATTTTATGAATTTTGTACCTCTTCATTCCTTAGTCTGATTAATTAAAATTAGTATTTTTATTTTTTAGTTATGTTTCTTATAATTTTGTTTCCTTTTTTTTAAGCATTTATTACCAAGTAATAATAGCAGCTAATACTGTTTATTAGGTCATCTTCTGAACATTTTATATTAACTTTCTTAATCCCTGCCATAATTCTGTGAGGTGAATTATTATCTCCACTATAAGGTTAATGAAATGACTTTTCCAAAGTCTCACGCTTTGTCAGTTGCAGAGCCAGGATTTGAACCCAGGCATTGTGACTCCATAGTCTGGGCTCCTAATTACTGTGCTTTGTAGCAGTACTTGATTGTTCACTGGTAGTTACCAGTGAAAACACAAGGAAAGGCACTTTTTTTTTCTCACTGATGTCATATTAAGTAAAAATATCTCTGTCTTGATGGTAGGAAAAATGATTTGTCTTGAACTTTTACAAATAGTTATACTTAATTGCCTTATTTTAATGCGTACTTCACAGTATTTCTATACTCGTATTTATATGGATGATAGAATCAGGCCTGGAGTTGAAGAAGAGAGTTTTTCTTTTGCCTCTTCTAGGTAAAAGAGGTTCCCCTAATCTTCAGACACAGACTTATTGAAGTGTAAAAAGGAGAGTTGAAAGAAAACTTGACAGACCATTTTTGTTGACCCTTTGTTTTAAATTTGTAGAATATATGTAAACCTCTGACTCGCTGTAATCTTTGCAGATTAGCTCAGTATAACTTGATTTCCAGGCAGTTTATTAGATTATGCAGTTGATACTCTTGAATCGAAATCATTGAGCTGAAATCATGATTCAGTTAAAGAAGTATATTCTCCTAATCAGTTATCAAGGAGCAACCTGAGAGGAGACCTAGCAAGACTGAGGTTTTCCCATGTAGATCAGTCACTACTGAATACCAATTCAGAGCGTACTCACCGAAGTGAACAGGTTTTAGCACACTTTTATATGGTAATAGTTAAAACAAGGCTTTAGATTTGATCCATAAAGTAATTATCAAACTAAAGTAAATGGAATTTTACTTTTTAACTAATCCTTTATTCCCACTGTGTAGTGGAGGTTAATTGTGGTATTAGTGACATTTTAATTTAAAAGGAAATTAGTCTTTTATAGGCTCCATGGATATAAATTCCTTTAGCAAAGCCTAATTAGATTGATTATTTTAGAGGCCAGAAAAAGCTGTACTATATTGTTTTGAATGGAGGTTCTCATATTTTAGTTTCTGCTGGGGAGCTTTTTGGACATGTTACATAATATAATAGACAGTGGGTCTATGTAGACTCTTGGCAGGAAGTAGCTAAGATTTTTAGAATTTATTTTTATTCCTATAGCAACAAGAGCCTATAGAAGTATTTTTTCTGCTTGACAGTACATGAATAGTCATCTCTTCACATCTATCCATATAATTGTTCAAAAGATATTCATATCACTATTTGCAAACAAATATTGTTAATGTCCCCCTAAAATTAAGAGCTCACTAAGTAGAACATTCAGTACTTGAAATCTTTTTCAGTAATATAGACAACATAATGCCAGGATTTGTTACGTAATATGATCAATTACAAAGCATATTTAAGGCTACTATAGCTTTTAGCCTTAACCTAAGTAGACTGCTGTTACTGAGCAGGCTGATTTGGAATCAAATCAGAAATAGGAACCAAATTATTGACAGGAAGGAAGACCTGTATTTCCTTCCTAGAACTGGGACGGGGATGGACGGTTTAGGGCTTTTCCAAACATACAGAGAAGGAATATATGATTCATAAAAATGAAAACCTAATATAAATTAGTTATGATGTGGCTTGTAAGAAATAAGTGTGGGCTACTTTCCCTACCTACTCTGGACTTCTAAAAAGTCATTTTGTAAATCTCCTCTTTTTTTTAAAAAGAGTTCAACGTGGTCATTGTTATCATCTGTATAATGGTCTTAGAGCAAGTCTTCTAGATGACTATCAACTGCCAGAAATTTTGAGAACGCCTTTGGAAGAACTTTGTTTACAAATAAAGGTAAATTAGATGGAAGAATTAAACTAAATAAATGAGGGTAATGTTCTCATTTTCAACGTCTTTTACAAAAGAAAGTACTGTATAAATCTGCAGTAATTACCATGTATTTATTTTGCATGTGTGTTAATAAATCATATATTTAAACTTCCTTCAAATATGTATTGAATAGTTTTTAATTATATACTACTCTAGAGAAGGCGGACTGCCCGCATTTGAGTATCACTTTTTTCTCTGAAAAATTAGTTTCTGTTACGTGTGGCAGGTTGTTTAAATTAATTTCATAAAATTCTCTAAACAGTGCCTATCACATAGTAAGTGCTCAGTAAGTTAGCTACTATTATTACATCTTAAAATGTTATATTTTGTTATAAACTACTTACCATTTTTTAGCATTTTTTTAATATATTTAGACTTACTTTGGAAATAAATAATCAATTCATTAGTTGATATTTTAGCCAGCCACTTTTCTTATTATTAAAAAATGACTTGAAAGTCATACATAAGTTTGATGCTTTACTTGAGTGTGCGGTACTGGTAGGACTAAGTTGTCTCTATATCATATGTTAATTATATTTGTCTTTTCCTCAGATTTTAAGGCTAGGTGGAATTGCTTATTTTCTGAGTAGATTAATGGATCCACCATCAAATGAGGCAGTGTTACTCTCCATAAGATACCTGATGGAACTGGTAAGTTTGATTTTTTTAAAAAATTCGAACTGATCTTTAGAATATTTGTAATAAGCAAATTAATTATAAAATCTACTGTTGCTACAAAGTAGACCAGTAATGTGCAGTGCCAAATAGGATTTGTTACTTGGCTATAAACTTAGGATATGAAGTATGCTTCAGAAAGTTATAAAATAATATCTTTTTCATGTTTTTATAAAACTGGGCTCTTTCTAAAGAATTTTTTCATTGCAGGCATTAAAAATTATATACAGTTTTGAAATTTTAAGGTTTCTGGTCTTTGTGAGTATTCTTTAATGAACTAGATTTATTCTAAGCTTTCTGATTATCATGATGTTTTTAGAGCCTTTGATAAATCTAACTTAATGACAGTATGGACATCTTATAAGAGCAATTGTTATGTTTTATTGAATGAATGCTAACAGGTGGCTGTTCTTCAAAATACTGTACTTCCCCACCTGTCTTTTTACTGTTGAAGTTTGTTTTCTAAGGACAGAGTTTTCTAATTTTAATGGTTCCTTTTTATGAAGTCAGTGATTTTTTTTTTTGAGTTGGAGTCTCACTCTGTTGCCCAAACTGGAGTGTAGCTTGCTGGCTGGGCTCCGGTGATCCTTCCACCTCAACCTTCCAAGGAGCTGGAACTACAGGCGTGGCTACCACGCCTGGCTAATTTTTGATTTATTGTTGAGATGAGGTCTCGCCAAGTTGCCCAGGCGGGTCTCGAACCCGCGGTTCAGGCAATCCACTCACCTCAGCCTCCCAAGGTGCAGGATTGCAGGCTGAGCCACCAAGCCTGGCAAGGAAGTCATTGTTTTAAGAAACTAGTTCCAGTGTCTCAAGTGACTACTTAGTTGGCAGCCCATACCTGTGCAAGCCACGTTGAGAGGGGTGCAGGAAGACAGGCACAAGGGCCTGGTGCTGTATTTTCTAGTACACGTGCCACTAGCCGTATGTGCCAATTGAATTTTGAATTAGAAGTTTAGTATTTCATTGCACTCACACATCTCATATCCTCAGTAAAGCACTAGTGACTATTGTACTGGACAGAGAGAAATCGAACATTTCTGTCATTGCTACAAGTTCTGTTGGTTATTGCTGGGTTAGAAGATGCCAGAGACACATTTTACGTCTTTGGGGCCATCCATGCAGATCGTTTTTGAGAACTTGGTCATATTGAAACTTTGTGATAGGTTTTAACTTAATAAACTGTTTAAATGAAAAAGCAGTGTTAAATTATCTGTCTCTGGGAATTTGGTTTAGATTTTATGAGGTTACCAGTACTTTAGGAGGTTGTGAGGTTTTTACTGTTGACCTCTCATTCTCTCTAGACACTTAATTTGTAGAGCATAATTGTGGAGAAGTAGGTGGTAATCAAAGAATCAACTTATTTATGATAGAGATGGACAACCAGAGGACTCAGATGGACTCTGCAACCCGAGTGGGATGACTTTCAACTGAATAAAAATGTCAGGCTTAGCCAATTGCAGGCAACAAAATCATGAAAAGGCCAGTAAACACTAGCCAACAGTGGGGTCTAAGGCCCACGCTTTAAAAAAAAAAAAAAAAAAGACAAAAACTGTTATGTGAAATACAGCGTGCACATCCAGGAAAAGTGAGCAGAAGTGCAGCTTAATGATTTATCACAAAGTAAACACTGTGTAATAGTGACTCATGTCAAGAAGAACATTCCTAGTATGCTGAAAGTCCCCCTCCCACCCTCTCCCAATCATTCAACTGTCCCTTGTTCCCAGAGATAACCTCTATCAAGACTTTAATGGTAATCTTTTGCTTGTTTTTATTGATAGTTTTCCCATACAAGTGTGCATTTTTATATAAAGAGTATAGTTTTGCCCGTTGTGTGAACTTTACACGAACTCTGTAGAATATGAGTTTTTTGTTAGGGGGAGCAGAGTTCTCGATTCTTTTATTTCACATTGCAAGATTCATCTGCACTGTTGCTTTTAGCTATAGTTCATTTATTTTAATTTTTGAAATCTTATGACTACTGAAAGACATTTTTATTTCCAGTTTTGGGCTGTTGTTACCATACTGATAGGAATATTCTTTGGTATTCATTGTTTTCTGGTACTCTGGGTAATACATGTACGAGTATGATCACGTTTGGTAGATAACACACAGCAGTTTTCCAGAGTTGTGAACCACTTACACGTCTGTCAGTGGCAGCTGAGAGCCCATTGCTCTGCAGCTTCATCAGCCCTTGACCACTATACTCCACCCTGGGTGATAGAACCAGAACCCTGTCTTAAAGAAGAAGAAGAAACTCTTAGCAAATTAATAAAGTTCTAAATTGGATGAAGATAACTTTCTAGTGAAGATTTATGTTGCTTCTGCCAAGGAAAGAGTCCCTAGCCTCTACTCACCTTCTTGGACATATGTCCTTCCCTAGTTCCTAGACTCTTAATTCTTGCAATTTTTTAGCTGTCCACAGTGGGATGGTTGGACCAAATGCCCTAGGGAATCTGCAGAATGCACTCCTATTTTCTAGGGTTCTTGGATACGCCTTAGCTCTTGCCTTTCTGTCTTAGGTCACCTAAACTACTGGAATCTAGGGGCTTTGCATTCCATACTCCAAATGTATAATAGTGTTTCTTTTTTGTTGTTTGTCTTTTTTGCAGCTCTTAAACTTCACTAAGTGATTTCCTTTATTTGAGTGAAAGTTTGCCAGTTTGTTATTTGTGTTATTTTTTTCCTAATACAGAAAAACCAAGTTGTGGATTAATTTTGTTTTTGTTTAAGTAAGTTAATTTGTGGAACTCAAAATTTATATTTTGATGAAGACAACTACAGTTGCACATTATTAGGGCATTTAGGCTTGAGTGGAGGCCTGTTACTTTTTTAAGCTAACTAAAATACCTTTAAATGTAATGCCTATAATGTCTATTTTAATCATTAACTCTCCCTTTACAGAACGCTTTGGATAAACAGGAAGAATTGACACCGCTTGGTGTTCACTTAGCACGTTTACCAGTTGAACCACATATTGGAAAAATGATTCTTTTTGGAGCTCTGTTCTGTTGCTTAGATCCAGTACTCACTATTGCTGCCAGTCTCAGCTTCAAAGATCCCTTTGTCATTCCATTGGTAAGAAAGACAGACATAAAGCCCAGACATTTTTAGATAACAGAAAGTAGTTGCTTAGATACATTTTTCATTAATTTTTTATTAGAACTGTTCTCTGTTACAGCATCAGAACACTTTACATTGCCTTTATCTGTTATTTTTTAAGGGGAAAGAAAAGATTGCTGATACGAGAAGAAAACAACTGGCAAGGGGTACTAAAAGTGATCACCTGACAGTTGTGAATGCATTTGAGGTATAAAAATCTTGTTCTAGATTATGATGGATTATTCAAGTGAAAAGCTAGTAATAGAACAGGAGAATATTTAACCTTTTGAAACCTACATTATCATACGTATCAGGAATGAAATGTTGCAAATGCTTGAAGTTCATTGAACATTTGAAAAAAATTTGAAATTCATTTTCAATTTTGTAATAGAATACCAATGGTAAGTGTAATGAGTTATTTTAAAATGTTATATTTAATATTTATTTGTATCTTTGATTGACATTCACAATAGACAGTCTCTTTTGATTAATAAACCAACTCTGGGTTCAGATTTAACATTTTAATAGAGTATCATAATCATATACGTAATTCACAAGACATTTTCTGCTCCCTAAAGTCAGGCTTATCTGAGAGTAAACATTTATCAACTAGCTTTGTAAAATTGAAATGTAATTTGGTTTTTAGAAGCACTGTTTCTTCTGTAGCTTTAGATTCAGTTTTAAACTCAGTTTTGTACTGCATATTGTGGGAACATTTGTTTTTTTCCTTTGAGTTTATTCAGGATGTCTTTTCATTTTTCTCCATTTGCTTTCTTTTAGCTTGAAAAAAAGTATGCATTTGAAAATATGTATAATAGCATTGAAGTTTGTTTAACAGTGTGCTCTTTTTGATTGATATGTTGTTTACAATTACTCCATTTTGTATAATATATATAATATATTACTATATGACATACTTAATTGTATAAAGGTCTGAAACTTCAGAAGTCGTTCTATCTTAAGGACTAGGAAAATAGAGAGTTTATGTTTTTTAATTCCTAAATGATAAAGTCTTTGCATTTTTTACAAAGAAAATTTAATATCAGTAGAAGATTAAACTGCTGTTAAAATTAAAATGGAAACAAGTAAGTAATTTTTGCTTTAGGGAGCCATATAGAGTTCTTCATGTCTTTGCCCCATAGGGCTGGGAAGATGCTAGGCGACGTGGCTTCAGATATGAAAAGGACTATTGCTGGGAATATTTTCTGTCTCCAAATACACTGCAGGTAATAGTGACTGTTATTCAGTAATAATATGCTAGTCTAGAGAATATATGTGTCCATTTTGTACACTTCTGTAGCAAATCAATATATGGAAATTGTATATATTTGTATTACATACACAATAATAGGGGAATCTTTATTAAATCAAGTGCAGTGAAACAAAGATGTATAATAATGTCATAAACAAAAAACTAGCCAGGCATGGTGACTCACACCTATAATCCCAGCACTTTGGGAGACTGAGGTGAGTGGATTGCTTATACACAGGAGTTTGAGACCAACCTGGGCAGTGTAGCAAGACCAGTCTCTACAAAAAATAATTAGCTGGGCATGATGGCGTGTGCCTGTAGTCCCAGCTACTTGGGAGACTGAGGCAGAAGGATTGCCTGAGCCCAGGAGTTCAAGGCTGTAGTGACCTGTGATCGTGCCACTGCACTCTAATCTGGGTGACAGAGTAAGAAGACCCTGACTCAAAAACAAAAAACTCTAATGACTAAGAAAAGAAACCAGGTTCTAGAGTGTAACAGTAAATCACAGTAAGGCTAGTTTCTATTCCTGTCTCCACCCTCTAGTTGTCATTTTGATGACTTAGTCTGAAAATTTTCACTAATTCTCTCCTAAAATCTATTAAAAAGTATCAAATAGGGTATCTTTAACTTTTTTCATTTAGTGTAGTGAACACACTGCACAGCAGGCATTTGTGAAAGTGAAGAAAGTAAACACTAAACAGGGCATGTGCACCTCACACTTCAGACTCTACGCTGAACTGGGATCTCAAGTCACTAGGAAGAGCAACAGCATCCTCACTTCTCCCAACATTGTGTGCACTCCAGCTAGGTGGCTTGATCCCTGATACTGGACATTTAACATTTCCGGCTTACTACTTTGTCGATTTCAATCTAGCATATCAGATGTGTCCAGTCATTAGCAAAATGAAAGAAAGGCCATAACTGAGAGAAATACTTCTTCAGCCGAAGGGAAAAAAGAATGGAAATACAGCATGCTTCAATAGAAAATACCGTACAACTGTTTTATAATAGGGAATTGCTTAGTAAGACTATGATTTCAGCAAAACAATGGTAAAGAATTAAACCAGTAGACTAAATGAAAAGACTCCTGAGCTAAGAAAACAAATTGAAGATCAGAAAATCATAAAGAACAAAATGGACACCCCTGAAACAGATTATTGCCATAGAAGAAAAGCTTGAAGTAATCACAGTTTCTGGATGTACCTGAAAAAGACAAAAATTAAAGCATTAAGTAAAATCTTATAGGCAGGAAGACAAGACTGATTAATCATGAGGGCAGTTGGTATCTCTACATAGAAATCACACATAATTCAACATTTATTTAGAGATGCTTATAAAGACATTTCTTTGAAATAGAAAAAATGAAAAGAACAGAAATATGAAAAGGTGACTGAGTCCAACTGTTATTTTAGAACATCGTGTCCAGCGAAGACATGAATTTAAGAAAAAGGACACATTTAAGAAAGCACTTATATAGTATACCCTTGAGCTTTTTTTGAAAACTGCATGACAGTGAAATGCTGCCTATTAAAAGATGAATCAGTAAGTGTAGATTTCAGGAATGGAGAGTGCATGTTAAATCAGCTGGTGGTACATATTGGAATTATTTAAGTATGGGATTAATACGAGATGGTGAATAGAGTATAAAGATTATTACCCTGAACAGTATAACAAATGGTAATACAAAACAGGCGGTGGCTAAGAAAGTCAGTTACAAGAAAATTTAGGAGGGAAAACTTAAATCTTTCATAAAAGGGATATACACTTAAATATGGCTAACTTTATGTGTTATAATATCTTACTTTACACAACATCATTCATCATCAGAGAAATGCAAATTAAAACCACAATGAGATACCAGCTTAATAGAATGGCTATTATTTAAAAATTAAAAAACAATAGATGCTGGCAGGGATGTCGAGAAAAGGGAACACTTATACATTGTTGGTGGGAGTGTAAATTAGTACAACCTCTTTACAAAGTGGTACGGAGATTACATAAAGGACTAAAAGTAGATCTACTGTTTGATCCAGCAGTTCCACTACGAGGTACCCTAAGGAACAGTGGTCCTATATAATCTCTTACTTTAAGCTTTAAGGGAAATTTTAGAAAATATCTTTTGTTATTATGAAAATTTAAGATTCTTCTGGTCATTTACTTTCATTTTTATTTAAACTAAATTGTAATAATTTTCTAAAACCTTTTATACTATGATCTTTTCATTAGGTTACATTTCCAGTTCTTCTGTCAGTATATATGCATAATGAGTGTGTGCAATCCTGTTTATTTAGTTAATAAGGATTATTTCTGAAGAGTATTGAGGCAAGGGAAGTTTCTTCATTGGCACTTTTCTGTATTACTTGAATGCTTTATAATGAGCTGTGCACCACTTTTATTCAAATAGTAATTTTTCTTAAAACGAAACAAAAAATAGGCCTTAAACTTATATGCCACTTACAGGCCATGTGGTTTGTGTTACAGCCACTCAGCTCTGCCATTGTCACACAAAACGCCTGTAGAAAATCTGTGATTGAATGAATTTGGCTGTGTTCTCAGAAAACTTCATTGAAATACAGGTTTTGTAGTTAGCCAACTCCAGCTTTAAAACATCACATTTTTGCAAAAGTGTGTTCATAACGTAGGGACAACTTACAACTAAATTGATCATGAGTGTGTTTTATAGTCCTGTGTGTGAAAGCTGTTCTAGTTCTGCTTGTTACTGTTGCTCCCTAGATGCTGCATAACATGAAAGGACAGTTTGCTGAGCATCTTCTTGCAGCTGGATTTGTAAACAGTAGAAATCCTAAAGATCCAAAATCAAATATAAATTCAGGTAAAGCAGAAAACACTATATAAATCATTTGTCATTGTTGTTCATTGTATCAGTATTTTACTTTTATTTTCTCTACCTTCTCACTCCCAATAGATAATGAGAAGATAATTAAAGCTGTCATCTGTGCTGGCTTATATCCCAAAGTTGCTAAAATCCGCCAGAATTTGGGTAAAAAAAGAAAAATGTAAGCACTGAAGATTGTTATGAATTACTTGTAATTCTCTCCATAAGCTTTTGAAATCCTCATGTAACGGGGCTTATATTGTAAATTTATTCTTACTCATAGTTGGGCCTTATTTTTGTTTTTTAAGACTTTTGGTCATTTAGAAGAAGGCAGACTGTTCAGCACAGGCATCACTTAACCTTACAACACATTCTGGAGTCATCTCTTCAGTCACCCATTGTTCAGGAAGAATGCTAAAACATGGTGCCAGTGTAAATATTAGAAAACCCAGTCAGCTATTAAAACTAGCATCTGGATAAAAATTGCTTAGAGTAGATTTTATTTCAGAAAGCTTTTTTCCTTTTTTAAAATGGATAATTTTATAACTTAATTCTTTGAATAAAATTGTGGTAATTCCCTCTTCTGAGAAATAAAGTATGATAATATATGTACAAATAGCCTCAGTAGTAATTGGTGATAACAAGAAAGCGTGTTTTTACCTAGTAAATGAGCTCTAGTAAAAGATACAGAGAAACTGAGAGTTACAAATGCAGATGATTGCCATCCTTTTAAGCATGTATCAAGAATCATTAAAATAGTCAGTGGTCCAGTACATTGATAAGTGAGTATTTTAATTGAAGGAATATGTTAAGGAAGTAATTCTAATTGTTTTTTAACAGCTATATTGTAAACAATATAAATACCCAGTAGCAGTGGGAAAATTATGGTTTTATAATGCCATATTATATAGCATTTCAGTAGGTGAGCATTAAAGCAATAATTGTGTAGTAACGTGTAAAATATTTGAACTGATGTTAAATAAAAAAGTTGGATACCCTATGATTATAAACATGAAAAATTGTAGACTTAAAGACCAAAGTGCCAATATTTTTCTTGTTCTCAACTGGAGTGATTTTTGCTCCCTCAGAATTTGAATATATTTGACAGTGCTTGGGAGACTTTTGTGGTTGCCTAACTGGGAGAGCACTACTAATATCTACTAAATAGAGGCTAGAAATGCTGTTAAACATCCTATAATGCACAAGACAGCCCCACATAACAGAATTATCCAGTTTAGCATGGCAGTGGTGCTGAGATTGGGAAACCTTATTCCAAAGTATAAGATCATGGGTAATTGATGAATTTTAATTATTATGGTTGGATTATCCACATTTTAAGTGATCCAGGTACTTTTTTGACATCAGTACTCTGTCCAATTCTTCTTATATTTATACCTAACTTTATTAGGTAGCTTAACGGAGAGGCTCTTTAAAATACAAACATTTTATTACCTCCTTCTGCCATCCTGGGAGGGCTTTAGGAAGAAATACAGGGTTTTTTTGATTGATGCTTTCTTTAGGTCTAGACTAGGGGTCAGCAAATTCTGATGTGCAGGCCCAAAGCTAGTTTTTGTATATTTCTATGAGAATACAGTCACACCCATTTGTTTACTTGTTGGCCTGTGTCTGCTTTCCTTCCCACTAGCAGAATTGAGTGAGTGTAACAGATTATAGAGCTTCACAATACAGTACCTGAAATACTTACCTTCTGGTCCTGTATAGAAACTTAGCCACTCCTGCTGCTCTAGTGATGAGGGTGCAAGATGGCATTGATTAAATTGTGGGGTGAGAAAAAAAATTTCTGGTTTTATTCTAAATATGAATCATGACTGTGGTACATGATTTTGGTGCTGGTATTATGAATTCCTAGAACCTCCAAAAAAACAGTCTTAAAAATAAATAGGAAGGATTAATGGATTATTAGCTTTTATTCTGTTGTCTAATACAGGTAATTAGCTATTTAAGAATAAACCATCAATCTCCCTGTTGAATAATATTGAAGACTCTTAGAAATTGAGATAAAATGCACATGACTATCAAAGAAAAGGCCCCTAGGAATTGAGAGTGAAGTGGAACTGGTTCAGTATACATTTAAACAGAATTCTTAATTTATTTTTATATTCATCTGTCAAAATTTTAAATTGATCGTTTCACAGAGTTGCTTTGTAAAGTGAGAGTTATTTATTATATCATGATTGTCACAGTGATATACATACAGTAAGACTGTTCTCTTGGTCTCGACTACTATAGTTATTTTAGATATTTGGTTTGTTCTTTATCTTTCCTTAATTATGTTAATACTATACATATTAACATAATTAAGGAAAACAACATTCTGTCATTTTTCTAATGTTGAGTAATTATACCTATAAAATTAGTTGTATGATTTAAAGTATTTGCAATTAGCTAGCATTTTCCCATATATTAGGAAAATCATGCTTTTTTTAGTCAGATGTAAATTTGTACATTTATTTTTTCAATAAACTGACTTCACTGTGGCCTTTTTAAAATTTATTCTGGGATCTATTTGTTTTTTTCCAAGCCCTTCTGTCAGTTTTTGAAAAAAATCTCCTAGCAGACTTTTTTTAACAAACTGCATTTTACCTTTTTTTAAAGGGTGAAAGTTTATACAAAAACTGATGGCCAGGTTGCTATTCATCCTAAATCTGTTAATGTGGAGCAAACCGACTTTCAGTACAACTGGCTTATCTATCACCTGAAGATGAGGACAAGTAGTGTAAGTGAACATTCAGAATAATCAAGGATCTGGACGTTAGTCAGTTGTACTTTTGTAATTATATCGTTTTCACAGTTATATAAACAATTTTTCTTTTTTTTCCCTCTGAAATGGATTAAAACCTTTTTATTCAAGCAGATAATGTATACTTCTAACTTGCAGGTCTGGAATGATGGGTCTTTGTATTAACTAGGACAGTTATTTGATTTGCGTAATTTTGTTTCAGAGCCTACTTTCAAGAAATACTAGCCTGTTTTATGGTGTACAGGAGTTTACACTGTGTAAAAAATTTTGTTGACATGTCAGTAGACCTTATAAGTATTGGTCAGCATATTAAGTGGAATTTATATTTTTCTCCTTAGAAAAGTAATTTGGGATGATTTTTAAAATGCTAGATATATAGATAATTTTAGCTACCTTAGTATATTGGTTTTGTCACTCAAAATATTTTGTTCAAAGAATAATGCTATAGCTTAAATTAAAACAAATGCAAAACACCTGTGTTCTCTGAATAATGAAGAATGGCTCACTTAAAATGCTATTTCTTCAAAACTAATCTCTAATTACACTAGCAGGTTAATACGTTAGAATTGATTAGTTGATTAATGGTAATATTGGTGTTAATACTGGTAGTATTTGTATTAATGTGGAAATAATTCTTTCAGACTCCTGAATATATTAATATATTACCTTTAATTTTCATTGCAGATATATTTGTATGACTGCACAGAGGTTTCCCCATACTGTCTCTTGTTCTTTGGAGGTGATATTTCTATCCAGAAGGATAATGGTCAGGAAACGATTGCTGTAGATGAATGGATTGTATTTCAGTCTCCAGCAAGAATTGCCCATCTTGTTAAGGTGACTGACTTTACATGATTGTCTTTAAATCAACATGTAAATTAACATGTGGTCTTGTGATTTTGTTCCGAATGTTACACATTAATATTTCTTGCTGTATTTCAACAGAACAAATTTCCGAATTTTGGGGGTTTTTTGGTGGTAACAAACCAACCACCCTAAATGGTTCAGATTCAGTGTGATTGAATTTTGAATTTTTTAACCACACATTAGTTGGTCACTGATAATATGACTATACTTTAGTTGATTGCTCACTAAATATGTTAGTCTTGTGCAAATAGCTGTGAAACTCCTTGTGTTAGCTAAAGTCACTTTTGTTTATTACATTGTTTGCTAATACATCTGCCTTTATTTAACGTGTGATTTTCCCACCTTTAGGAATTAAGAAAGGAACTAGACACGCTTCTGCAAGAGAAGATTGAAAGTCCTCGTCCTGTAGACTGGAAGGACACTAAATCCAGAGACTGTGCAGTATTGTCAGCTATTTTAGACTTGATAAAAACACAGGAAAAGGCAACTCCCGGGAACTTTCCACCACGACTCCAAGATGGATATTACAGCTGACAGCTTTTCTGCAATAGTCTGAAAAGCTAGTTTGACAGCCATCTCCATCGCAGTTTAATTTTGACTGGATACCAAAACCTGGGACATGACTAAATTTCATGTGTAAGGTAGAAGCCTTCAGTAGGTAGTAACGACTTAATATGCATGACTTGATGATGTTATCTGTAGCTATTATAAATAATATTATCAGCAGTGTGTTCTCTGGTCACATACTCCATTGTAGTCACATCCACTCTTGGGGAGTATATTCCCCTTATGTGTATATATTGAGTGCTGTACCACTTGAGAAATTATTTTGTTCTGTTATATAAAATTAATATCTCTGGCCATAATGACTGAATATAGAACCAGTGAAAATAGAATGGTTAGCCAAAAAGCAGTGTCAAGTAAGAATTTGAACACAGGCACATTTTTAAAAATGAAACTTCTATCAGAAGTAAATTAACTTGTTGTAGTAAAGTCCAGTATTAATAAAATGTAAAATGTATAAATCTCAGCCAATTTCTTGGATTGGTTTCTACATCTCCACCTATAGCTTGGTCTATTTGATGTTTTTGCTCTTTTTGAAATACATGTGTACCTCTTTTATATCACCCCATGCAGCATAATACAGCAAGTGAGTGTGGGTCTGGAGTCTGACTACCTCATATCCTAGCTCAGCTGTGTCACTTATTAGATATCTTTGGCAAGTTACAGAGCTGCTCTGTTTCCTTTTCCTTATCTATAAAGTATAATTGGCCATCCACATCCATGAATTCTATCAACCATAGAGCGAAAATATTTTGGGGAAAAAAGTGATGGTTGCATCTGTAGTTAACATGTACAGACTTTTTTCCTTGTCTTTATTCCCTAAACAATACAGTATGACAACTATTTATCTAATGTTTATATTGTTTGAGGTAATTATAAGTAATCTAGAGACAATTTAAAGGAGAATGTGCCCAGATTATTTGCAAATACTATGCCATTTTACATAAAGGACTTGAGCATCGCGGATTTTGGTATCTATTCAGGAGGTCCTGGAACCAATCCCCCAGAGATACCGAGGGGCACCTGTATAGATATCAGTTGTGAGTATGAAGTGTGTTATAATACATGTAAAGCATATAGGCAAGTGCCTGGCACATAGAGTTACTCTCTGAATCTTAGTTATTATTTGTCCCTGAAATATTTCTTTAAATGTTCAACAATCCATTATATTATACTTTTTCATTGCTACTTAACCCTCTTAGCCAGTGGAAACTAGTTTGACAACATGTAGTGTACATATTGAGCCCTATCAGATGTGACAGATACTGTTAGTTGCTGTCCAACAGTCATTCTGTCTCCCTTCTTGCTTTTTAGTGCAAGTGTTGCCCTCTGTACAGCTTTGAGCCCAGGTATGTTTTGAACCCTCTTCCTCGAGTGAATCAGGTGCTTCCAAACTAGCCATGTATGGTTACATTCCTTACAAATAGTCAGTGAGGCATGAGTACACAAATCTGTCCTAGCGAGTGGCACTTTAGAAGTGACCTTCAAGGGGATGTCTAAGAAAGTTTTTTTCTCACTAATAAACTTAGGGAAGGAAGCTCTGCTCTCTTTCTTTGGACATTATCTTGTCTGAATGCGTTACTTGGAGCTGCTCCAGCCAACTTAGAACCATGAGGTGGAGGCGGGTAGGGGGACAGCTGTAGACTGAGTTTGGTTTGGTGGAAAGGTGAAACTCACCAGTTTTTGATAATGCTGGCGAGCTGCAGAATGAACCCCCCGGCTCTACATGTGGACTGATAGTGATAAGTAAAACCTTTCATTGTCTAAACCACTTAGTAAGGTATTTTTAACTTGGCAAAAAGCGTATTAGCTGAAATATACACTATCTAACATTGTGTTATTTGCTGAGACTTCTATTTATTTTGCAATATAACAATTTTGATTCGTATGTCTGACAAAAGGTGTAAAAGTGCTGGATGTAAAAGAAACAGGAAAAGTATCTACTGCGCCATAAAAAGTACAAATTTTATTGTGCCTTCCAGTGCAAGGAAACCAAAGGAATAAGAATATCATACAGTAACTGGGATGTACTGATAATGCTACAATGATCTGTTAAGTGCTCATTCAGATACTGTTCCCATCTGTGCCATGTGTGCCACTGTCATTACCTACCAAGGTTTGAATGTAATGTGTGTCATACATTTGTTCTCTTGACTGGTCTCCCAAAAGTGATCTGTCTCTCACTGAATTCTGGCATTAGAGTCATGTCAAAATATTGTAGCATATTAGTTTTGCCTCTGAAGTCAAGGTGTGACTATCTAGTCTTATTTGCTCTTTAAGAGTGTTTGTGTGCTTTTTTTTTTTTTTTAATGCTTCTAGCATTCTGTTTAAATTCACACAGTTGGTCAAATGGTCTTGGAAGGAAGAATTTAAAGGTTCTGTAAAAATGATTGACTAGTTGCAAACTGATGTTTAACCTTCAAATGAATGGGGAAAATGTTCCTGAAGAATTTTTTAATACATGAGGTATTCATAGAGATTAAAACAGTAACTGTCATCTTCATTTATGTGTTCTGTACAGCTGATTGGGAAGGAAGTGTTAATTCAAGGCGCTGTTTATACTCTGACTTTTTGTTGTTTACAGAACAGGGCATTACTGTGTAGAAAATGCATTTGAGGTCTAAGAACCATTTGTTCTTTAATGTTTTTAAAGGATAAAACATTAAATTAAGAAGAAAAGTCAATTTATCTTTCTCACCTCTCTGAGCAATGCAAAGGGTAACTCTTAAAAAAAGACAAAATAAATAAATAAATAAAACACTGAGTAATCTTTAAAAAGCATTTTTGAAAAGAGAGCAGATGATCCCTTCTTAATTTATTAATTTGGGCAAAAGCTGCAGATAAACTTATACTGATTATTACAAGTTATTCTCTATTCTTACTGCATTTTTAAAAGTCCACTTTAGAAGTTATGAATTAAAGAAAAACTTTAGAAGGAATTTATTAGAACCCTCTCACCCAGAGTAAATGATGGTAAATTTCCTTCTGTCCTTAGCTCTGAATTTGTAATTATTTATAAGTGATTGTGATCGTGTTTGTATAATTATATATTTGTAATATGCTCATTGTTTTTAAGTGGCATTTTTATTCTCATTTGAAAACAATGCATCCTTACTGAGGAATATTTGGAAATTCAACATACAAAGTAAATCATGTAACTATTGTTCCATTGTGATATATTTCTGTGCTTTCTTTTAGGCTTTAAGGTATTTGATATACAATGAAATTAACCAGTTTAAGTGTATAATTCAGTGAATTTTGTCAAATATGTGAAATCATGTAATTACCACCACCGCAGTCTTGATATAGAACAGAACAGTTCCATCACCTGAAAGTGTCCCTTGTCCCACTTTGCAGTCAGTCTCCCCCTCCCCCCGCCCCCGGCCCCATCTATCCCATGGCAACCATGGATTCGCTTTTTAGTAGTGTAGTTTTGCCTTTTTTAGTGTTTCAAATAATTGGAATTAGATGTAGTCTTTTGTGTCCAGTTTCCTTCAGTTAATGTTCTTGAGATACTCACATTGTTACATGTATTAGTAGTTAGTTGCTTTTTTATTGTTTAGTAGTTTTGCATTGTATGGTCATTACCAGTTGATGGTTTGTTTTTGTTTTGTTTTGTTTTCTATTATGAATAAAGCTGCTATAAATATGTGTATACAAGTCTTTGTGTGGTCATGTTTTCCTTTCTCTTGGGTAAATGCCTAAGATTAATATTGTTGTGCTGTATACTAAGTGTCTTTATAAGAAACTACCAAACTGTTTTCGGAATCTGTTGTACCATTTTACATTCCCAGCAGAAATGTGTGAGGGTCAAAGTGTTCCATTTCCTTGCTGGTGTTGGTATTTTTAGTTGTTTTGTTTAATTTTAGCCATTAGTGGATGTGGAGTTCTAGCTCATTGTGGTTCTAACTGGTATTTCTATAGTGATACATGATGAGCATCTCTTCACATGCTTCTTTGCTGTTTTCCTTAGTTGTCTTCTACAATTCTGTGTGAGTTTTGATTTCCACCTTGTATGTTAAATGACTGGGGGCTTAAGGATATAAACTAGGATCAGGGAGGATTATGAATTAACTTAGAAAAGATGCAGAAATTAATTCATTATGCTCCTTGAGGTTGAAAATGGCCATGGGCTACTCTTGACTTGGCCGGTTCAGTGCAGAGTAGTCATGCTGTTTAGGTAGTCATGATGATGAGAGGTTACGTATTTACCATATGGTAAAGAATAGGTCATGAGGAAAATATTTTGTGTGTGTTAGGAAAGCCACGGGAGATAACCGAAACAGCTGACTTGAAATCACTGTAGAACGAATCTCCACTGTGCATGATAGAATCCGACCAGTTTGAGAATTTCTTTTAAACTGTGAATACCTTTTTTCTACTCCATAAACTTGATTCATGTCTTAATGGTCTCGTGTGAATTTTCAAGTAATTTTTTTCAAGAAGGAGGCAATGAGTAGTATCTTTCTGAGTCCTAGTATGTTATGTTACCTTGACACAATGAAGACAACTTGGTCAGGAATAAAATTTATTTTAGCAGAGCTTTAATGAAATGAGTGATTCCTTGGTACTTTGTCTTAGGATTTCTAGCTGTATATTTACTTTAAATGCTTCAATAACTTAATCTTTCCCATAGCTTCCATTTACCCCATTCTTGCTAATGACTATTTCTCTTGTTAAAGTAGGTAGTTTAGGTTTTTGGTTCCTACTGGAAGCTGATTTTTCTTGATTTTTCAGGCAAAAGTAGAATAGGCCTACCTCTAACATTTTGGTGGTATCTGAAATAATACAAAATGGAATCCAACATCCTAGTTCTCTAAATATTTTTAAATTGTAAATCAGTTTAACAAACTGGAATAAAACGCCCTCTTAACAAATACATTCATATTGACAAAATTAAAAATGTTTTAAAACTGAATGTTAAAGATTACTTACCCAACCTAGGCAACATATAGCAAGACCTCATCTCTACAAAAAATTTTAAAAATAGCTAGGCATAGTGGCATGCACCTGTACTCCCAGATACTTGGGAGACTGAAATGGAAGGATTACTTGAACCCAGGAGTTTGAGGCTGCAGTGAGCCATGATCATGTCACTATACTCCAGCTTGAGAGACAGAGTGAGGCCCTGACCAAAAAAAGATTTTTAGCCCCAGTTTACTGAGTGTTTTTCCAAATATTTCCAAACATCAACTGATAAAAACCTATGATTGTTTTCTTTAGCCTGTTAATATCATGGATTGCTGTCTTATTCTAGTTTCTATTGCTATAGCAGAATACTGTACATTGGATAATTTCTAAAGAAATAAAAATTATTTCTTAACAGTTCTGAAGTCCAAGAGCAAGGTGCCAGTATCTGGTAAGGGCCTTCTTGCTGTGTCAAAACATGGCAAAGGGCATCACATAAAACCACCAGTCCCATCATGGCGACCCTACCTGCCCAGATTATTTTAGCCGAACTACCTC